CTGCCCTGTTTTGTTGAAGAATCACTAGAAGTAGAACCTTCACTTGTAGTCGCAGAATGCCAGTAAGAAATATTTTCACCATGTTCTCCAGGATTACAAAACTCATACAGAGCATCAAATAGTTTCACATCTGGAAAGCCAGTATAGAATTGAAAACTGTTGTTGTCATTGTAAAATCGACTGAAACAAAACACTTTACGCTCACTGTTTGTGCACCTCTCCATCAAGCCCTCGACTTTGGTCTTCAGTTCGTTGAGTTCAGTTTCAAACGCGTTTGTTTCCTCGCTTTCTGGCCCCGTAACGTCTTCCTCTAAATGGCTAGATGATTGACCAGCCAGTTCATCACTGTACGAGTCTGGATCTATAAATTGAATGTTAGATCTTGATTTTGCTGGTGACTTTCTCTTCTTGGGAGAAGCTGTTTTCCATTCGAATCTCGACGGCACTGCCCCGTCTCGAAACGTACGTCTGCCAGTTAGTGAAACTTCAAAGCCCCCGTCTTTAAAATGCCTTGAGCAAACACGAGTGTTGTCTGTAACCTTGAAATGTCGCCCAACGTCTTGACAAATCGCACGAATCCACTCATCAAACAGATGCTTTTCCTGTGGAAACTTGAAGTAAGAAATCTTTTCCCCCCTTCTACGTATCCTTTCTTCATGCAATGAGGAACACAACAGTTTTTCGGCATTTGGAAAGAATATAGAGTTCGAACACATGGTTTATTATAGTCTAGTTTTTCGTAACTTGATACAGTTGATATGGCCATGTTGTTGTCATCACTCCTCGCGGTATAAATCTCGCGATTATAGCACAGCAGGACGTCGTAAGGCACAAATTTTGCCATAAATTTCATCTTTAGCGGTATCGAATTGTCCATATACAAAGGAAATATTTTTTTCGGCAAAAAAGTCTATAATATATATATAATAAATCTATAATAAATTCGCAAATCTGGTGGCCCCCTTTGCCTCGCTTTCATGCCCCCGGGCACCATTTTGGAATAAGGTGTGTGGAATAAAAGGGCAAGCTCTATCTTTTCTAGAATCATATCTCTCAAATAGAAACCAAAAATGCCAAATACAAGGGTCATTTTCATCAGAGAAATTGATCAAATGTGGCGTACCACAAGGCTCTATTTTAGGGCCACTATTTTTTCTGTTATATATTAACGATTTGCCTCAGTGCCTGGATAAAACAAAACCTTGGTTGTTTGCTGACGACACTTACTTGACAGTTTCTGGAAACTCTATTACTGATCTTGAAACTGCAGTGAATTCTGATTTGGAAAAACTTAGGAAATGGCTAATTGCTAATAAACTTAGTCTAAATGTTGCTAAGACTGAGTTTATGTTAATTGGTTAAAAAAATGATTAAAATATTCAAATTTGAAAATTGAAAACAAGTCAATTAAACAAGTTTATGAAACCAAAACTCTTGGAGTGACAATTGACCAGCATTTATCTTGGAGAACTAACACTGAGAATATTTGCAAGAAAATAACATCCAGAATATCAGCTCTTAGACATTTAAAAGAATTTGCTGATAAGCAAACACTTCTTTCTGTATATAATGCTATTGTTCGCCCATATTTTGTTTACTGCTGTGAAGTATGGGATTAGAGAAACACAATCAAAAAGACTCCAAAAACTACCAAACAGAGCTGCTCGAATTATCCCCGAGCCAACGGCGCAAAGCGCCGTGCGAGGGTACTAATTCCACACGGCTATTTACACCCGGGTGTTTGAAAACATAGCAAAGTGCAAAGTTGTCCTCCATTATGTGATGGACGGTCTTCGACGTTATGGCTGTCAACCGTGAAACAAAGTGTGACAGGCATGTATAGTTTACGAATTTTGTCAAAGACAAACCAGATGTGTTTTTAAAAGTAAATTTAATCATTGTCTTGGCTATGTTTGGGACTTGGGTAAGTGTTTACTTGATTTGTGTTTTCGATTTCATTCATATATCTGCGAAATTTTTACGCCATCCTTAACTCAGTGAATAATATGTTTTAGTATGCAAGCTGGTATTTTATATATGAAATTGTATAAATGTAGTGATTAATAATGTTGTTTATTTGGGGCAATTAATACGGCATATCGTGTTTTTATGTGTGTTTCTTTATGGTCGTTTACGTAAACTATAATCTATACTTGAACCTATAACTCAAAAATTAGCTTCTGCCTATAAAGCAAATATATTTTGCTGTATTTTCGAGCAAACTACTGTTTGTTACTTTTCCGTTTCCCCTGCAGTTTCATGACGACAAAGTTTCAAAATGTTTGACTGTTACATTTTACATTAAATTTTAAGCCTATTGAAAGCCACATAACATAAAACTATCGATACATTCCAAAATATGACAATCAATGATTCTTTAGTTAAAAATTACCTCGTATTACTATCACATTACCATAGCGACAACCATTATTTTAACTCATTAAGTCTCATTGCGCCCCCATGCGCCCTGGAATTGGGAACAGGGTAAGTCTCATTGCGCCCTCATGCGCCCTGGATGACACGTCAACTTCCGGGCACGATTGTCTAGCGCGTATTTATCGGGTTGCCTAGCAACAGTCATGAGTATAAAGTGCAAAATTCGGGCATTCAAACGATACATCATGCGAGAAAATTGATCAAAAGTTTGCGAAGATTTTCGATTTTAAAACTCTATTTTTTTACAAAACCTGTGACAACCGCAAAGTGTCACAAGATAGGACTTTGCAGCAAGTTTTAAGGATGAAAAAGAAGAGGTTTTTAAAGTGTTTTACATATAAAATATATTGTAAAACATAAGGGAGTGTGCATATGTTTCAAGTCAAGTTCTTGTCCAAATCAAGTCGCGCGATTTTCAGCGAGAAAAACAGCAATTTCTTTCAATCTAATGGAAAAGTGAAGTGGGAAATCGCAAGAAACATGAACACTAAATCCAAGTGAGTAGTATTTTTAATGAAAATACCTGGCATGTTTTCATGAAATACGATATAGCATTAAAGCAAGTTCGATCTAGTTTAAAACTAAGTTTTTAGAAGAACTTTTCGTGCATTTTATGGCATGATTTCGACTGTTTTCGTATGACGCGCGAAAGCGGACAAAATTACTTTTCCGAAATATATATGACGTCAACATCGAATATAAAACATCAATACAAATATAGTAGGAATTGCCGTATATATATGTGCTAATTCTTAAATATAAAACATGTTCTCAAATATATATATATCATCTTTCGTAAATATAAACAGTGTTGCCGATTATTTAACGTCTTCCTCTCATATATATAAACAGTATTGGAATATATAAATCACATCACATATATAAATCAAATCAAATCAAATCAAATTTAATCAAATAGTTTAGTTAAATAATACATTTTGATTACACGATCCCGCAATTAGCAAAGCTATTCCCCGCGGGTAGTGTATGATTTTCAAAACAATTTTTTAAATATATAATGATGTTAATATCAAATAATAACTGCATGCATGTTATTTAGAGATTAAAAGTAAATATTAACTCGATACTATATATCTGCAAATATTTAAACTAGGACTGATATATGATGTTTATATCAATCCCAGTTTTACTGTAAGCCTATAATCTATAGAGTTCATTTTGAATAAGTGTTAAAACTAAAGCTAACGTATTTAATTATTAGGTTATTAGAAAGAAAAATATGTATTATTTTTGTAAATTAATTGTTTTTATTAATGTTGATAAATCAATGTAGATGTCCTCATGCTCCAGAACCTGAAAAAGCTTTTTCTTCAATTTTGTTTTGAATATATTTCTACTCAGATCCCTGAAATCTTCTGGTATCTCGTTCCATACTTTTAATCCCATCACGCTAAAAGATTCATTCGTTTGTTTAAGTCTTGAGTGTTTGAAATAAAGTTTATTTGCAGCTGCAGACCTAGTGTTGTACGAGTGAATTGCTTTGATCGGCGTAAAAAGATCTATAATATTGGATGGGGCTAATTTGTTTGTAATATCATGCATTAATAATGCTATTTTTTCGTAATAAAGCATGCTAACCGGTAATATATTTGATGTAACAAAATGTGGTATTGCATGTTCTCTATAAGGGGTAAAATACATCAATCTAATGGCACGTTTCTGAAGTAAAAGAACCTTGTTAAGGTTTGTTTTATTTGTTTGACCCCATACTGTTAAACCAAAAGAAATATAAGGATGTATCAGGGAGCGGTATATATTTAAAAGTGTACCAAATGGAACAAAATGTCTGATCCTTGAAATGATGCCAATGGTTTTACTTATCTTTAAAGTAATATAGTCTATATGGTATCTCCATGTTAAATTACTATCTATTAGTATACCTAAGTATTTAACATAATTCTTATGTTCTAGAGATACATGTTGGTGAGTATTATGGTCAAAAACTTTTAGATTAGGAATATAATTAACCTTTTTTTGGTAAGTATGAAAGATAACAAAGTTTGACTTTGCAATGTTTAAGCTTAGTTTATTTGCGAATAACCAGTCACTTACGTTTTCTAATTCCTTGTTTACCATATTTTCGAGGGTCCTTAGGTTTTTATCCGAATAAAGCAGATTGGTGTCATCAGCAAATAAAAAAAAATAAATTTACTAGAAGAATTGTGTATGTCGTTAATATATATTAGAAACAATAGAGGTCCCAATATAGATCCTTGTGGAACACCACAGCATACTTTTACTCTCTGATATTTTTGGGCTAATTTTGGTAGTCTGAGACCTTTCTAATAGATAGGAAGAAAACCAGTTGTTTACAATACCTCTTATTCCATAATGGTTTAGTTTTTGTAATAATATTTCATGATTTACGGTATCAAAGGCTTTTTGCAAGTCGATAAAAATTCCGCATGAAAATTGTTTTTCATCCATATTAGATTGGATTTTGTTAATAATATCTAGCAGTGCATGTTCAACAGAATGCTTTTCTCGGAAACCATACTGTGAAGGTATTAAGATATTATGTTTGTCAATAAACGTTTTAAGTCTATTATACATTAATTTCTCAAAGATCCTATTGATATTTGAAAGCAAAGATATCGGTCTATAATTTGTTGGATTTTCTTCCTCTCCACTCTTATAGACAGGTATAATTTTTGCATATTTTAGTTTAGACGGATATATACCCGTTTCTATCGACAAATTCATTAATTTAGCTAATGGTCCTGAGATAATACTTTTAGCACATTTCATAATTCTTATTGGAAAAGAGTACAGTCCGCTTGCTTTATTATTAGGAATTAATCTCAGTCTCTACCTGAGCGGGAGTAACTGGGCTCAGTCTCTACCTGAGCGGGAGTAACTGGGTCGAAATAAAATGACCAGAATATGTCGGTGTGGTTAGGTATTCGCGAAAATCTCGACTAGATTGGGGAAGGCTTGACGCCAACTTTTGTCCAACTGAAGCAAAGTGTTGATTGAATATATTTGAAATTTCTGCAGGGTTCTTCGAAATACCATTGTTGTTTGGTCTTTTAACCGCTCTGATGACACGTCTGTTTTTACTTTTCCTATTTATTAAATTATTTATCCCTTCCCATGTTTTTTTCATGTTTTGTAAATTCGTAGTAAAATAGTTATGATAATAGAGCTTTTTGCTAACTCTTGTGAGTTTAGAAATACTATTTCTGTATAATTTATATCTATCAGTATGTCCTGAATAAAATAGTTTATTCTTTATTTTTATAGATTTAAGCAAACCCTTAGTTATCCAGGGTTTCAGCAGTTGTTTAGCTTTACGATTTGACACCTTCTTTAATGGCGCATGTTTATTGATCACTTTATTAACCTTATTATAAAACGTTGAAAAATATTTATCCACATTATGAGGTTCATTCATACTTAATTGCTCGCTGAAGACCTCTTGGAGATCATTATTAAATGCATTTTCTGAAAAGCATGAAAAATCACGGATCTTGTGATGTTTTAACCTTTTAACTTTTTGTCGGTAGGACGTTACTATACAAAACTGGGAGAAGTGGTCACTTATATCAGAAACTAGATTTCCACTAATGACCTCATCGTTCATTTCATTTACAAAAATATTATCAATAAGCGTTGCAGAATTTCTATGGACCCTGGTTGGTTTATCAATTGTTGGGATTAAGCCAAAACTCTGTAGTGAAAGTAAAAAATTATGAGCAAATTTACAGGTTTCAGAGCGAAGGAGATCCACATTGAAATCACCTAGTAGGTATATAGGTTTTCCGGTTGCGGAGTACTTTTCAAGCGAAGAGTCAAAATAACTTTGAAAACATTCTGGAGTATTGTGCTGTCTGTACATAACTCCACAAATAACATTTGTCTTATTAAATTCTATCTCAATCCAGAGAGCTTGAAACGCCTCATTAGAAGTAGTTTCAATTACACGGTAATTAAGTGTATGATGAATGTAAAGGCCAACTCCCCCAGCGGAGAGAGGTGTTGGAACATATTCAAAATTATAGCCAGCAATGTTTGGATTAAAATCAAGTGAATTTGAATGTTTTATTCGTGTTTCGGTTACACCAATTACGCTAAAACTATAATTAAGTTCGTGCAGCAAATGGTGCTGAAAATCATCAAGATTTCGCTTCAAGCTCCTTAGATTATTATGTAAGAAAGATAGGCAAAGTTCCGAAATTACGTTGGTATCTTTAAGTTTTGAAAAGCTATGAGGCGAGTAATAATTGCCTCGAATCTGACTATAAGGAAGATTATAATCAGGATTAATATTAGTGTTAGTATTAAGGCTAAACAAGTCTAAATCGTAAATACTGGTTAATTTCTCTAAATCACTCTTAGTAGGCAAGTCATTCACAGATCGACAGTTTAGTTGTTTATCTCTTGCAATATTTATCCCAAAAAACGGCAATTCACGCGATAGATAGATGTTTTCTCTTCTTGTGACTTTATCAGCCATTTAACTAACAAATGTATTAATTTAAATTACATTTCTAAATGTACTTAGCTTCAGTCTTCATGAACGGCTAAGCGCTCAGTAAGATTTTTCAGGTCTTCCTTGCTGTAAAGCTTGATCACACGAGAATCCTCGGTCTCTCGGAGGTATATCACGGATTCTTTGGCCCAGCAGTATTTGTATTTTTGACTGAATTTGAATTTTTTTGCTTCATAAAGCAGTTCTTGGAGCCTGGGTGTTAAGTGATGGTATATGCCTATATTATTGACATTATCAGGACTTTCGCTATGTGATAACCCAAGGGACGAATGAGCAACTTTCTTAATTTCACTTCGCTTTGACATAACAGCATCTTTAGCTAAGCGTCTACTGAATTTGCAAATGATGGGGTTGGCATTATTCGAGTACGTGCCAGCTTCTCTTCCACGTCGGCGTGGCACCCGGTGTGCGGTGTCGATATCTCGCATTGATACGTCTTGTACACCCATCGCATCGAAGATTTTTAAACAAAAAGCGATGCTGTTGTTGTAGCAGATTCTTTTTCCGTTGATTGTGGAATCCCAACGATCTTGACGTTATATTGGTAACTGTACTGCTCAATGGCATCAATGGCGGCCTCTGAGCGCTTCACTCGTTCGATTAGAAAACTAAGATTCCCTCTTATCTCTACAAGATCAGCTTTCGCCTGGTTTCGAAAGGTTTTTAAATCCTCATACTCGTCACTTAGGAATTGAATATCCCTTGGCTGTACGCTAGGTTCTGTTTGAGAATAATGGCTTCGCGAGTCAAGTTCATTGTCGATACGCTCAGTGAGCTTAGCTATTTGTTCTTCCATACGCTTACAAAGTAGTTTTAAATCTTCGTTTTCTTTCTTTAATGCTTTAGTTGCTTTATCTGAACTCATATTTCTCGCTAAGTAATACAGATGCCTATATCAGTTACAATTTATGAAATTTTTAGATAAAACTCAGGAGCACTAATTTTGTACGTCCGATCAGCTCGACCGACCATAATTTTCCCATATATAAATCACCTCGCATGCCAAATATATAAAGCGTGGTTACACTGCATAATGCTGCATACGAGCCTCCGACGTTCCAGCGGAAATTTTCATAAAAAAATTGCTATACTTTATATTCCGTAATTTGTATTGGTTGGAAAATTGTTTTGAAAACGTTCGTTTGGTTTCACAAATGAACCGCGATTTCCCAGTTGCACATATCGTTGATTTTTTATCGTTGGGAATTAATCTTTTTGGGGACCTTCGTCGCCATTCGTTTTCTTCAGATGCCCGTTTCGCAGAAGTTCTGGTTTGTAGAGCCGAAGAGTATGTGAATGGTTTAGTGCTGCTTCATGTGTATGACTGGTCAGAAGAGATATGTGGCGAATTTGCATGGGTTATTTCTGGTGTGCAGGGTTACATTAATCATTTTAATGAAAGGTTTGACGAATTCATTCAGAAAAATGAAGAATGTTATCAGTGTCCATACGGTATTATGGTATTATTATGGTACTTTAAGAAACCCAGTCATTACTGGCCTCTCAGTTCACAATCAGAGGATTGAAAGGTTATGGAAAGATGTCAACCTTTACATTGTTCAATATTTCAAAAACCTTTTTTACTATTTTGAATCTATTCAGTTGTTAGACCCAGTGAACGAGATACATTTGCTTGCCTTACATTACGTTTACAAACAATGGATCAACAAGGCAATAGAATCTTTTGTTCAACAATGGAATCATCATCCTCTTTCAACAGAAGGGAACAAAAGTCCTTACCAAATATGGACAGAGGGATTTTATAGTCATGCCAATTCCAATCATGGAGCTGTTATGGATCTCCTTCATAGAAATGAAAATGTGACAAACATTGGGGTTGATGATGAGGGTCCTGTCCCAGACATACAGACACAAAATAATGTAATTGTACCAGATGTTGATCTTACTGAGAATAAAATTTTCAGTTACAACAATTAGCAATATCAGACATCCCTAACAATGAGCATGGTGAACAAGCTTACTTGATAGTTCGTGCAACAATTGAAACACTTTTGGAAGAAAGGGATTAATAGTTTAAAAGAATTGTTTATACACCAGCTACAATCAATATTGCTAAAGCTACACTGGATAAGGTTGCACTGTCACAGCGGATAGTTTCCCCTGTATAAAGTGTCCCCCAAGACACCACCATATCTGCTAGTGTGCAGTGTCTCCCTGGACAAACTGAAAAATACTGAGCTAAGATTCAGCTCTTGCATATAAAATAAACAATTTTTGACCGTTTCTCCAATGTACACATTGGGTTAAGTCACTATTACTGGGATGACACTATCTGCTGTGAGTCTGTTACACTTGAACTTAAAATAGTAGTTCCAGTGCACTCTTTAACAACATAAACAACTTACAACAAAAATTATTCAGTTCAAAAAGCAAATGAGCAGTGTCTCAACAGCGGTATATTAAGATTTAGTTCCACACAAAGAGCCCCACATACTGTAAATTATACCCTGGTAATATTAAATGTTTATGATCAAAAACATTTGACCACTTTACCAACACAACAATGAACTTGGAAACCTAAAAAATGAGTTCAGTTTTGTTTCTCAACTAAACAATTCCAATCAACAAAATTTATACTATTAATATTAACTTTAGTTAGAAATTTCCAAAACCCCTTCCTTCTTGAATAGAAGAAATCAGCAAATCTTTCATGCAATCAAAGCTGTTTAGATGTACTGGCAAGCATAACTTTAGCAAACATGTGGATGCAGTTGGTCTGCATCTGCAACCTTTGTCACATCCATGTACAAAACAGATTTCAATTTGATCTCCTAGACCAAGTGGTGGAATGCTGAAAGAACCAGTTACAAACTTAAGCAGATCTGACAGTGACAGGTCAACTTCACTCGGACCTATTAAATAATAAATATGTTATAAGTTAAGGAGTGTCAATATCATGTATTGCGTGTTCTATTATTTTTCAAAAAGGTGCCATCTTTGTAGTATTTTTCTTTTACAATGTACGTTTCAACCTACGTGTCATTTCAAATGTGAATAATAATCCAAACAAAAGGTTGCCATATATTCTTACCAGCATGAAATAGGAATTCCACAAAGTCGCAAAAGTGCTTAAAAGTATCCTCCTCTGCATGTTTCTCAACTTGCCTCTCGTTGTATGTCACAATTACATCCGAAAGGAACTCATCGGGGGAAACATCAAACATTGATGAAGCATCAGCAACAAACACAGGCCGAAACAATTCTGGATTGTCTTTCACTTCCTGTAGAAACCCATACATCCTCATACCTTCCTCTAATTGCGATAGCATGCTGAGTTGTGGCTCGATGACTGCCTTCACTGTAATTGACCTGTGTTATAAATAAGGTTGATTGAATAAATTGTAGACAGAAGATTGGAGACAGAAGTTGGGTGAAGTTCTAATATACTGTATGTTTTATATTTTATTATTTATTGTCAATCGGTCAACTTCAATGTAAAATAAAAATATCAGTTTGCCTTTTGAACACTCAGTGTCCACTGTCCTCATGATTACCATTGTGGCTCCATTAACCCTTTAAGTGGCAATGCACCCAGATGTGCCCTACTTTATTATTTTACTCTGCCCAACACCAGACGATTTTACTTGTCAGGGGGAGGGTGTTGCCACTCGATGGGTTAATCAGACTATCTGCCCATGTACCATGTTAATTAATTTAACCATTATTGTGGAAAAGTCAGTCACTGAACTAGACACTGAAAAATTCTGATAGGGGAGTGTGCTGAGTAATTGACAAGTAAAATCATCTGGCGTTAAGCAGAGTAAAATAATTCAAAGTAGGGCGCATTTGGGTCCTAGATACACAACTATTTTTGTGCTCTGTCTGATGCCTGACAGCTCTACTTTCATTTGTGGGTGCCATTAATTAATTGGGTTAGTTAACTATCTCACCTGACAATATTTTCCTTTGAAGAAAGGGTTTCTCTAGAGGGAACTCCTCTATACCCCACCAGAGAAAGAAGTGAGAGTGTTTCATCTTCGCTTAATATATTTGTCAATTCATCATTGGTCTGAGCTTGAGCGATCTGAATAAAGGGCAAACACAATAATTCTAAATCAAGAAGTTTTCTTATAAAGCTTTAATACTAAAAGGTATAAACTATGAATTTTTGATAATAAATGCTATTTCTAGGTACAAAGTGCTTAGATATTTAACTAATTTACGGTACCTTTTCAGCAACAGTTCTCATTTTTTCATCTTTAATCATGTCAGTGGTGATTTGTATTGCATTAATCCCCTTTGTGATGAGATTGTAAAGTTGCTGTGAAAAGAAATTTGGGCAAGGGCCACCTTGCACTACTGACAGAGCCATTAGTTCCCCAGCATATTTAAAATGCCCCGATGTTAGAGCCACTGTGCTTGGGATAATCATACCCTTTCCATCGAAAAGCCGCATTTCAACATGTTTCAACACATCTATCAATAATTAATAAAGTTAATGTTACTGATAGGCATTCACGGTTCAATTACTGGATAAATAGGATTGTCTGGAATTATGTAACAGGCAATTCCAACTGCAATCATCCCCGGTGAACCCCCGGGAATGTGACTTTTCAACTTACATTCAGGGAGGGCTTATATTCGGGGGGGGGGGTATATTCGGATGTTTATGGTATATATACAATTACTGTTTATAGCGGTGAATATTGATACATTAGAGCAACATAATTAACCAAATGTTACCTGATAAGAATTCTCTCTTTGGCCCACCACCGTCTATCCCTTTTTCTCCTACAAAAGCAACTCTGATCTTGTTTTCTGGCTGCATCCATTTGCTGCGTACACGTGCGTTGACATAATCATCAAAGATTGTTTTTCTTCTGATGTGATATTTGTTCTGTTTATCAGGTACAAGTTTATTTAACCTGTAAACTGCATCCTTTATTTTTTGTTTGTGATTTTCAGGCGTGAGAATGTCATCATTAGGAATTTCATCATTGTCATAAACATTGATAGTTGGTGTTTCCACATGGCTTGTATTCTCAATTTCATAAATATCATCAAATTCTTCCATTATATTATTGTACTGATTTTCATTGACACTTCCATATTTCTCCTCAGCACAAGCATCTGCATGCAGTTCTATCTCACCAGCAGGGAAAGCATTATGGCATGTGGGACATGCAATAAGATTTCTAGAGCAGCTAGGTTCATTTGTAGCAGATGTCGATGGCTCTGATGACAGTCTTGTGGTAGATATGTCTGGGCTTGGGGGGTGTAATGGTCCAGTACATGGTTCGTGTACAGGTGATTTCACACTTGCATTGTCATCACTCTCATCATCACTGGCACTACAATCAGGTTATATTCTTTTCCAGTGACCTTTCATAAGTGCAGAACTGATATCTCTCAGGGCTCTAATGTAAATTGGCCCTTGTCCTGCAAAATGCTTTACCATCCGACCATCGAAGCTTTCCGTTTTGGACATACTAGGAACGATTATTTTGTTGCTTACTGCTCGTACGAAAATAAACTTCAATCCTGCTATATTACAAAGTTTATCTTTCAATTTTTCCTCTAAGATACACCGTATCTCTTCCTCGGTCATTGACAAAGTCAGTTCGAAAGTTGTTGTAAATCCCCGCACATAAAGTTCTTCACGTGCAACTCCTTTTGGAACACAATTTACATTTGGTCCGGGTAATAAAATAACATCCTTCGCCGATTTCCGTTCGGCTTCAGACGCTTTTGTACGCTGATGATTTTGATTTTGTGCTTTTGACGATGATGATTTTTTTGGTGCTTTTGACGATGATGATTTCGCCCGTTTTCCAGCTTTCGGTCTATACACTGTGCTTGGATTAAATCGCACAATACTTGCTACGGTATGCCTATCAGGATTTTCATTCCTTTCTTGTTCCACGGCGCGCTCTCCTAGCACTGTATTTTTTGTGGCGTTTGCACCTTGACCACCCTCTGTTGATGGAAACAACCGCTTTATTGTTTCCTCTACACTAACTGAACTACTTCCCTCCGATCCCTCGATATTCGATTCCTGTGATGTGCCACGATCAGCAACATTGGTAACTGCTTTTATTAAATTGGCCAAAATTTGCATGTGCTTGTCGGCCATGACCACTCAAACTCAACTTCAAGTGGAATTTGAAAAGGCGCCAATGGGCGCCTGTTGGTTTAACTAGTACTTCATGTAATTCGGTTAAAGCGAACGCTGTGTAACCACGCTTTATATATTTGGCATGCGAGGTGATTTATATATGGGAACATTGTTTATATATGTGATGTGATTTATATATTCCAATACTGTTTATATATATGAGAGAAGACGTTAAATAATCGGCAACACTGTTTATATTTACGAAAGATGATATATATATATATTTGAGAACATGTTTTATATTTAAGAATTAGCACATATATATATACGGCAATTCCTACTATATTTGTATTGATGTTTTATATTCGATGTTGACGTCATATATTTCGGAAAAGTAATTTTGTCCGCTTTCGCGCGTCATATTTTCGTGACCCTAATGTTGGTCGTCTTGCTCAAGTTGTTATTTTAGCCGAAGTACTTTCAGAAGACAGTAGGTTCAACTTGTCATGTGCGTATATACATTTTTGGCAAGAAAAATTTCGAGTAAAACCGCATTAAAACTAAGTAGAATACTCTACAATGAATACTATATCTGTTTCTATAAACTTTGTCTCGCAACGAGCTCTCATTTCAGAGATAATGTGGTTTAAAATCAGTGTATTGAATTATGCCGTTACTTGGCACGTGCGAATTCTGAACCTTCATGACAGGGATTTGAAAAGCTTCTAAAATACACTTTATTGCTTCATATATCCCCATAAAATTTTTAAATCAATAAAGCACATCATATTATCCCATACCTGTGTTAAAAGCGGCTTTCTGATTGGTTTAGAGCAGGTGAGCTTGTCGAATAAAGCACATCATATTATCCCATACCTGTGTTAAAAGCGGCTTTCTGATTGGTTTAGAGCAGGTGAGCTTGTCGTCGAGCTCACCTGCTTTTTTCCCGAGCTCACCTGCTTTTCCCCCGAGCTCACCTGCTTTTTTCCCGAACTCACCTGCGTATAAACCAATCAGAGTCGCCCATTTTCCCCCGAGCTCACCTGCTTTTTTCCCGAACTCACCTGCGTATAAACCAATCAGAGTCGCCCATATATGACGATGTTTTGTTTCAGCAGCGCGAAATCCTGCTGCAGAGGAGTGCAAGCAAGAGCAAGGAAAATAATATATAGTATTAAATATGAAAAGAACAAAGCGTTTTGAAGCTATATCCGACGAACAATTAAAACAAAGACAGCATAATCTTGAAAACAAAAATACAACAGACAATGAAAAGAAAGCAGAACGTTTATTCAAGCAATATCTTGCAGAAATTGGCGAAGATTTAAATTTTTGCGAGTTCATGCAGCGAGGAAAAACTTGATAAACATCGAGGAAAAACTTGATAAACATCTTGCCAAGTTTTGGTTCGCTGCCAGAACAAAGAATGGGCAAAAATATAAAATTGGATCTCTTGAAACTACCAGATACAGTTTGAACAGAGTTCTGAAACGTTATGGCCACAAATTCGATATAACAAAGAGGGAATGCACGGCATTTACTGCAAGCATCAAAGCCTATGAAGATGCAACGACTGAACTGAAACAAGAAGGAAAGGGATTCACAAAGAATCACGCTGCTGTCAGCCCTGAAGGTAAAATATAGCAATAAATTATAATTACTACATTTATGTAAACGTTGTGCATTCCTTTTTATATGCAACAACAGAAATTCCCTCAATCCTAATTTCAAACTTTGATATTTCTTCAGACTTGTACGACATATATCATAGTCGACATCTTGACCCTGATGCAGGACCAAGAGCTCTTCAAAACAAGGTTCAGTGGGACATACGATTCTATTTTGCACGCAGAGGATCAGAGAACATGTACAATATGACGAAGACAACATTTACCATCAAAATGGACGAAAAGACAGGTATGCAGTATGTTGTGAAAGTTGAAGATGAAGCTACAAAAAACCACAAGCAAAACGAACATGACATTGTAACTGGCTATATGCCTGCTATAAACGATGACAAGTACTGCCCAGTAAAAAGCTTTATTAAATACACTCAAGCCCTTCACCCAGACTCTGAAAAGTTGTGGCAGACCCCTAAATACAATGTATTTCCCACTAATGGCCAAGAGATATGGTATGGCCCAGGAAATGTTGGCCACAACAAACTGGACAAGTTCATGTCTAACCTTGCAAAAAACTGTACATTGAAAGACAAAGGCTACACTAACCACAGCCTTCGAGCATCTGGAGTAACAACCTTGAAACGCAACGACTATAATGATAAGCAAATCATGTCCGTCACCGGCCACAGAAGCAGTGCAAGTTTGAACATATATCAGAAAGTTGCATCAGATGAAAAACTTAGAATGGGTTTAACACTTGGCTATGCACTTCACATAGATCCTAGCTGTCTGACGAAAGAAAACGCTGGAGATCCTAGCTGTCTGACGAAAGAAAACGAGGTAGCCTGTGTTTACCAGCAGCATCCTCATGACAACCACCCCAAACAATCATCCAATGCAACCCACCTTTCTTTCCGTACCACTGGCACTGGAAACCAAATTGTGCCTCTTCACAAGCGACAAGCTCCCCGTTTCACAGAAACTGCAACAATTACCAAACGACCATGTCTGCACAATCTCCAGAGAGCAAACTCTTCAAGTTCTGTAACAGCTAAGCAGTCTTCAACATATGATGACTCGATGTTCGAAGAAAACAATGCAGTTAGCGATGCAGAGTTGCTGAAAGCAGTAAATGAGTATGAAGAAGCTACAATATCAGAGAATGTTCAATTCATGCAGTCATCTCAGACTGACTCAAACAAAATACAGTGCATTTCCAGGCAAATATTGAAGAAGATGAGCCCACCTACATTCAGTAATTGCAAAATTGAAGGTGGAATTATTATTAACATTCATAAAGATTGACAACTTGACTGCAGTAGTGACTGGTGTTGAATGTTGAAAATGACATTTTTGCAGTAAAACATTTTAATATTTATGATCTTAATACTGTTATATAATAACATGACTGTTGATATGATATTTTATTAATGCTAATTTAATTAACTTCTAATAGTTGTATAATTGAATAATGTTGTTGCTTATGTTGATGTATCATTTCATTAATGTTAATTTAATATGAATATTTCACTATTGTTGCTCTTCTAAGATATTGTATGTTATGATACTGATAAATTATTAATTATATTTATACAAATGGTGGGTGATGCCAATAATTTTGTTCTGTTTTAAATTAAGCTTAATTAAATTTGCTTTTCTATATCTAAAAAATGCATGGTGCCACCTTAAGTAAAAAATAACAACAAATATGGCGGACAAGATTTAGCCGAAACAAATATGGCGGACAAGATTTAGCCGATAAACCTAAACTTTAAAGAACTTTTTTCGGTGACTAACCTACTGAGACTGAAGAAAAACCAAAGAAAATAATGCAATAAAGGTAATCTAGAAGTAGATAAAGAAGTATGAAGAGCCCAGTGTTTTTTTTGGCCGGGGAAATGTTGACAAAACATCGACGAATATATCGCGAAGAGCTAGTAGCTACACATGTGTGTATGGGATAAAAACCAAACGTACTTGCAGGTTCGGTGAGTCCGGGATTGGACGCACCTCGGGTGCCAGCCACCCTCGGTGCGTCCAATCCCGGACTCACCTCCCTGCAAGTATGTTTGTTATAAAACTAATGTACGCTCATTTTCTAAGAAATACTCATCGATTACCCGAAGGAAAAGTTTAAAATAGGTCAGGAGAGAATGCCGTTCTCCTCTGAAATGGCTTCTTTTGTGGGAAGCCATTAAATTTATGTACTTTCCAAAATTGTAATTTAGTCGCTTTTTTGGTCTCATTGTTCACTTATTCATCATGGAATTACTTTGTTTGAGCTCTTTTAATAATATCTGCAAGATACTTTGCTATTTGGTGAAATAAAAGCTATATTTTTAGCAGTTTATCTTTTCAAAACTGCATGCGCAACAAAGTGTCACCAATGTGTTTACTCTCGTCTGACAAACAACCAAAGATGAAATACTTTATTTCACTCTTTTATAGCAATCTAAAATGCCTAAATATTAGATTATTCATTTTATGTGAGCATACATATTATATTTTTATACAATTGGTCCTTGAAAAGGACTTATTTCAAGCTAGAGTCAGATTTCAAACTAGAGTCAGATTTCAAAAGAAACCGCCTGTCTGACATTTTACAGCAACATACATTCGCGCGCACAACGTTTTAGCCACAAATCCGTTGTTTTCTCAACAGAAACAAAAGGAATTTCAGTTAAAATTCTTACCTGATGAATATTCAAAAGTGTTTATCTGTTTTTGACGACTTTCAGTGTTCTTAATAGCGAAATAAAAAGCCTTTTGTTTTGTCACCGCACACTGCGTTTGAAAATGCCGGCTGTCAAAGTCAGAATTGAAAACACCTCAAATATTTTAAAATTTTCTCACCTTTTTCATCCTTTGTTTATATTTTAATTAGTAATTTTTGTACTTCGTGTTTTTCCAAACATATTTGAGCTATTTAAAAACTTCAAAGAGGTACAAACACTGTGTTTTTGGGTTACAGAATTTTTGGACTTGAACAACAAGTTCTGAAGTTCAAGTTCTCCATTGTAAACTAGATGTCCTGAGTATGCCTGAGCTATGCCCAAGCAAATTTTTATAGCGTTTCATTATTTTGTAATTTATACCTTACAAGATGAAAACTAATTTGAAAATAAATGTGTACCAATCCAGGAATCAAAAAATATTTGTCCATTTATGTTGGGTTATTGAATTATTGCCCTTCAGATATTGGGTGTCATGAAGAAACAAAATGTCAGAGACTTAAATTTACACAAACCAAGAATTCTCACCCAAAAATCTAATGATATATTTAAGTGTGGGAGCTCATTTAAAATAGAATTGATTAATCATTTATCATTTTAACCCACTGCAAAATTTCAAGGTTTTTTATAACATTGATCTTGAAATATGGGTATTTTTGTAAAAGCAGTTGACAGTAACTAAAATTCCCCATTTTCCTTGCAACTTGGGGAGTGCCAATGTTGCAACAGTCTGCAACTTAATGAGTTAAACATGGAATGGAGTACTTCATTATTTGATTTTGATTTCATGTGGAATTTCTGTATTTCATCTGTTAAAAAAAGGCAAGGGGTTGCTGCATGCATGTATTTCTAGTTATGAATATGAGCAATATAGAGCAGTCTGTTGCATTGCAAGCATTGGGACATAGAGCAGTCTGTTGCATTGCAAGCATTGGGTTGGAAGCCAAGTAAGACAGAAAGGAAGAAAAGTAAAGCAAAAATCATGTACAAATTATTGAACAAAATGGGACCGAAATCACTCACTAATCTCTTCACATATAAAAGTGAGGTGACAAACCACAAACTTCGAAACATTTCAAGTTGTCTTGGTTTACCACAACTGCGTACTAATAATACTAATAATATGAAAAACAGTTTCATGTATGACGGAGCATACCTTTGGAATTCTATTCCTATAGAAATTAGAGAGAGCAAATCCTTTTGTTCCTTTCGAAAGAAAATTGCTACTCACATTAACTAAAATTATTTCTCAGATTGATAGCTAATTGAAAATATAGAAGTCTATATACCTGTAAATAGATTATTACTTATAGTTAATTTTGCTAGTTCATATAATACTATATATCTTACATAATTTTGTAAATAGTTTTTAAAATTATTTTCTGTATACTTTTTCGCATGCCCCTCGTGGAAATCAGCTTCGGTTGACGGGGTTAGCGTGATTAAATAAAGTTTTACTAGTCTAGTCTAGTCTAGTTGACATATAAACAGTTCAAATATAATAAATTTTGTAAAATTGTAAATTATAGCTACAACTTTGCTACTCTATAATCCTCACTCAAATAAGATCAAAATAATAAGCCTAGTCAAGTTTCGATCTGATAAAACTTTCAATTTATTCTAACTCACATGATTATGTTGTTCTCACACTATAAGGCCAGTTGGGCGAAACCCCTATCTGCCAGAACCAAATCACCTGGTATAAGGTTGTTCCTCCCTCCCCAAGCTTCACTGACAAAGCAAATTGTATCTTGTGGTGTAATTCCAATTAACACTTTAACAGTGTTGTGATGCTTGTAACTTGAAAACGTCTGTGCCCTTGCAAGGAGATTAGTTTGTCTATCAATAAAAGTCAGCATAACATGGTTTACACAGAAATTAAAACTCGGATTGAGGCATAGAATTATGACACTCCCTTGTCTGAATGCCAACTTGTTGTTTGTGGTTGAAACGTCTGTATGTGTTATGGCTGGCGTTTCTCAAGTTTTCTGTGGCAAATTTTCTGCTATGTCTTCGATATCGTACATAGTCATAGGATCAAATAAACATTTAACAACCATGCCAGGTTCATTTACTCTCTGTAACTTCTCTTTGACCATTTCTTCTGTATTCTCATGCATATCAGCATGTACGTTTCATTCGTTCAGCAACTCCAATTTAATATGGCCAACAGCCATCTTCGCCTGCGTTCGGTTCACAAAATTTCCATTTCCTCGCATTGATTTTTAATAACTTTCGGCACCTGCCAGCCAAGAAAGATCTGTACGTTTAGATTTGTCATTTGAACAGTTTAAAACTACACAAAAACCGGCATATTGAGGAATATTTCTAACAGATTTGGCATAGCTATAAGTAAACACTAGTGAATTCCTTGCATGTGACATGTTTTACTATACCAACATGGCGGATGCTAAATTCTAGTGATGTCACAGCGGCTCATGTGAAAACACACTATACTTTGTCACTCTGCAGAAAGCTGCCACCTTTGTTTTACAGCCTGTTTGCGGGTGTACAGCTCTAATTAATCGACCTAAGTGTTTAACACATGCACAGACACACAACTCGATAGCACAGACACACAACTCGATACAAAAACTATTGCACACTACACCAAGTTATTCCCATAACATTTGCAAATGACCTTGATAAAATTTAGGCTATTTGCACATATTTGACACTGTTTCTTACCTCCTTTAATTGGTGAACCACAGTAAACACAGATTTTTGCTAGTTTTTGGGAAGCATTCTTGAACATACATGTAAAGCCTGGTTTCCATTTGGTCAGTAGTCAGTAGCATCTGCAATCAGTAAAGACTGATTTGCATACAACACAAAAAATACAAGATAGACATCTACCACTTGTTGTGGTAGCAACTGGTAAAGACCAAATGGAAATTATGCAGTTAGTGTAACTAAGTGTAATTATGCAGTTTACACTCTAAGACTAACACCCCCAATTTTGTAATGATTGTCTTAAGACATATTTATTTGTGGAATAATGTACAATAAAAGTCTACATATTTATTTGTGGAAACAATAACTCAAATGTACAATAAAAGTCTACATATTTATTTGTGGAAACAATAACTCAAAATATAACTCTGGTAACATTGTTTTTTGCCAAAGTTCCTTGTCACCATAAATTCTTTCAATATGCAAGTCTTTTTTTGTATAAACAACAAAATCTGCCCGCTGAAGCTCAAGTGTGGCCAAACATCCTTGAACTTGATAATAATAATTCTAATTTCTTTTCAACAGAATTTTACCATCAACTTTAAAGCTATAATTATATTGTGTTTCATTGAGATCCAGCTTTCAGACAGATACACGTAACCATAGCATTCTAATGTCAATTCTTCCACATGCCAGAATTTGTGACTAGACATCACATCTAGTAAACAATCTTGATATTTATCCTTTAAGAAATGTTGAACTGAACATTCTTTTATCAAAGGTGTGTTACCTTGAAATATTAAAGGAATACCGAATGGTTTTCCGTGCAGGATTGCATGATCCATGAACGAGGGATGTTGTAGGATTGCATGATCCATGAACGAGGGATGTTGCGAGACTTTCAGAAAGCGTAAAATACTCGAGCCGCAGGTGAGTGTATTTTTACGCTTTCCGAAAGTCGAGCAACATCCCAAGTGCATGGATCATGCTATCCTGCTTGGAAAACCATTTGGTAATTGTTTTATAAAATAACTACAGTGAAACAATGACATTTTGAGAATCCCGTGAAAATCCCGCGAAGGCATTTTAATTCCTCATGCAGGATAGCCTGATCCTGCATGGCTATTGACCAATCAAATTGTGTGTTTCACTGTAGTTATTATATAATTCCTGTTCTTCCCTCCTTTCTTTAGTGAAAGTTCTCTGTTACCAAATTTTAGAACATAGAAAATTTGCATTCTTACAAATAGTTTACACAAGTAGTCACTCGGGAATTCCTTACACTCTGACACTTAGAGTTTTGGTAGAGCATCCACAGGGCTTTTTCCGACACCAGTTTGGGAAACCTGTTATAAATTGGTCTTCTATATTGGTTATATATTGAACAAGACTGGTTGTGGGAATTGTAAGTCCACCATATAGGCCTTTTTTGTTGTCATATGCTTTGAAATAACAAAAACGTTTGTCAGAACTGTCAAGTTTGTTTTGATTACTGAGGACTTTGGAGCAAACCTGGCAATTGTGCTTCTGCAGGCATTTCCTCAACAAATAACCTGTCACAAATGTGATGGCATTGGCCCTCATAAGGTTTTGTTCAACCAATATTAGAGAGGTTAAGATACCCCGGTTCCGGTTTACGGGTACGAGTATCGCCATTTTGTTTACCAATTTTTGCTGATGTCAGCAATTTTACCCGTAATTTCTACCCGTTTCCCCGCGGTAAACCGGGGTCTACACGTAAACGACAAACGGGTACGGGTGGTTTCTGTTTACTATTTTTGGGCCGTTTAAATAGTACAAATTTTCAGCATCTTACCCCAATAAATAATGCACATATGCTGGTCAAAGTTTTCAACAATTTACGACGAACCTAAACAGCGAAAGTTGCCATTCTTTGATTGGTTTTCTCACGCCGGAGTATCTTGGATTTCTTAAGTTACTCCCCGATTTACGGGTACGGGTACGTGTATATCACCCGTACCCGTAAACCGGAATCGGGTATCTTAACCTCTCTAATGGTAGTTGGTGGTCCACTTCTTCAATCTGAAACAGAACTGTTGTAGCAATTTCATTATTGGCAGCAGGCTCTGTTGTCTTTCTGGTGTTTTTGCATCTAACCAGCATGGCATCTAAATCAGCAGCACAGTTTGTATTGGATAGTGACAGGTAGTGGTCATAAACCAGCTTTCTGAAAGCTCTAGTAAACTGAATTGTGGTTGGAGCTTCAACATGCAGTCCTATATTTTCCAAAAGATTGATGATCTGCTCCATTGACAAGAAAGTAAGCCAAAGGCTGCTTCCAGTTGTGCACCACACCACGAGCCATAAAAACAATAGCAGAAGTTGCCAAGCAGTTGGTTTTGCCCCCTTCACCATAATCTTCTCCAATCAGCTCATCGGTATTCTCTTGTTAGGCCAAATTTGATTTCAAATCAATTTTGTTGAATGAAATAATGCACAGCTTTCAACAAACTTGGAAACCCACTTCAGTAAAGCTGACTTTGAAGGCAAACAGAAAAGCTTTGAGACTAGTTTAGGCCTTCCCACTGAGATGGAAAAGGTTAAGTCCAAATGCTTTAATTGGTTTCGTTACTGTATCTCCGGCCATGTTTTGAACTCTTTGTTCTGTGGCTTGATCCCAGTCAATATTTTCGAATGTGTCAGGATCCTCACGACTAATCCAGTGTGCTTCACCAATCTCACACGATTTTTCATTAACAAACTCGAATAAAGCATACTTCATGTTGAAAGGAGAAAGAAAATGTCTCTACAAATAAATCTCTGAAAAATACTTCAGCTTTGCGTCACTTTACTTGCTTGTAGCGTGGTTTCACTGGTTTGATTATTTTTTAATTGTGTGACAGAACATGATACATGTAACACGTGACCAGACCGCGCGTTCTTTGGCCTGGGTTCAAAAACTCACTGTTTCCACTTGAAAAGGAAATTTTTGCCCTTGGAAAACTTTGGAAGGAAATTGAAGGAAATAGTATTTGGATATTGAAAATGATATTGAAAGGAAATTTCAATCGTCAGAAAGAAAATACAGTAGTAAGAACTGGAAACACTGTTGAAGTTTATACACTGTGTTGCAGATACAGATTATTTCATTTCCACAGACTACAGAGTGAGTTCAAGCACTGTTCTTTTACATGGAAAATTATTGAAATATTTTCTAACACTACTAATGTCACGAGGACCCTATAAACAATATGAGTATGATCCAACTGTTTCTGTACCGAAAACTACGTCATATAACAAAAGAAAACGTAGCTGCAAGGAGGATGTAGCGACTGAAAATGGTTCAACATGTGACAATATTGGTCGTACAAATATGGTAGGCACAATTATTTTTTTAATACAATAGTGTGCTATAAAGTATCATAACATTTACATTGGATTAAGCATTGAAAAACTATAAAATGCCCATGTCAATATTTTATAAATGGCATGCCTATACTCGTAACAAATTCGCTTTGTATCAATGTGGCTTCAATGATTTCAAATTCAATTGAGCTGTTTATTAACCTGTGCACAAATAGCATTCTGTTGTATGCAAGTGGCTTTTTTAGCAAACCTGCTTAATACTTAAAGAGACCATTAAAATGCTAAACAAATTATATTTATATTTAAGTGCAAAAATTCTTGTCTAAAATTGGCATGATGACTCTCAAGAAAAAATTTAGGCGATAACCCAGGGTGCAATGGGATAGCATGTGGCTATATATTGAGAATTATATAATAATGTTAAGAATTCAAGCGCTTTCATTGGTTGAGAGCCATGATCTTTTTATAGAGGACATGAGACACACAGAATTACATCACCCAAACTTATTTGTCCTGTGCACAACACAGCACATGACTTAAGGTAGCCAATAGCATTCCCTTATTGGTATAGATCATGTACCAGGTGATCTCATGTTCGTATTTCAGCCAATCAGCGCTCAGAAAGGGTTGTCCGAATAGAAATCCATTTTGATGTATTCAGTCAATTATATCTTTCGTTATTCTTTATGAAACTAGTTGAAATTTTGTAATTATGTTTGGTTAGGTGAACTATATAGCTCTGACAAAAATATGGAATCGAAATAAAGTATACTACAGGAGATATTCAGTTGTTTTAATCATAAAATGGATTTCTATTTGACAACTAGTGCCAGTACTTTTCCGCGTATCAAGATCACCTGGTAGGCATGATATTTGTAAAATTTCAACTTTTTTCGAATTTCTAAATGTTTGGGATGATAAAAAAGTAAGCTATTAACCTGTTTAATTCGGGGGTTTTCTTTCTATTACGGTATATAAAACAAATAGATAAGATCTTGCCATTGTCTGTTCAGTATCTATATAAATACACAGTAATACAGTATGACATCATAATGTGGGAAGAACAAAAAGTGATCCACTTGCCTCGGCGGCTTGTGCCCACATTTTTGTTCTGCTCACATTATGACGTCATTCTGTGTATCTATAACTGAACAGACAACGACAAAATCTTATCTATTTCTTGAATGAAATGTGCTTATTAAATTTCTTGGTAGCTTTCACACTAGCATTTTTCTAATAAAGTTTCAACATTCCTATTTTATCATTCTTAGTTGCTTAAATTATTTGTCTAAAATATATTGTAGAGGTTTTGTGAAAGAGCTTTGTTGAATGATATTGAAAATGAAGAGAATTTTGAAGTTGCAGGTTTTCAGGTAACTGTTTGTTAGCTTATGTATAGCTAGCCTTGTTATTTCACTCTGTCTTAATACACCAGATGATTTGGCTTGTCAAAGGGTCACCCTCAATGGCTTTAATTATACATATTTTTAATTTCACTAAATTCAGCATTTTGTGGTAACCTTGTCTGATTATCTTTTTGGTATAGATTGAAAATGTAAATGAAGATCAACTGGTTGATGAGGTTGAAAGTGAAGATGAGACCATTGATGCTGGAATGGATGACATTAGAGAGGAAAGGGGTAGTTGGAATGAACAGGTAATTTTTACCGGAGATGAAATGGCCGTATACACTCAGCCAGTGATTGCTGAGAAATATATGTATATGTTTAATACATAGAAAACATCTCACAGTTATAATCTAACTTGTTATCACCCTACTTGGTTGATATAATATTAACTATAGCTGCCGCTATTGTTTCTATTGGGTGTTCACTTATTTTTAATATTTTTTGTTCCCATTGGGAAATAGGGCCATCATTAGGATCATGTGTTTGATCACTACACACATTTTGTGTTAACCCCTCCCCCATCTCTCTTTTACAATAATACTCCTACCACAATACCTTTAAACCTATTCAGGGTATAAGGGTACTTACTGTAAAGAGAGGTAAAACAATGTCACTTGCTTATGATACTACAGTAAGTTTTTGTTTATCAATTTTGCAAAGTAGATGATTTTAATTGCCTTTTTACTTCACCGAAAAACACTGTCTTCTATACCTATTGTAGCCCTGACATTCTGACAACTCTTTTGTGTATATATGCATTTTGAAAAATAAGCTTGGCATCTACTATTGAAATGTTTTTATTAACACACATTAACCTTTTTTCAGATTTCAGAAGATGGAAACGATCCATTTTATCCTGGCTCGAGTGTTACTAAAGCTCAAAGTCTTCTTCTAATTTTATGTTTTGTGCTGAGGCACAAACTTACCGATGTGGCCTTAGGAGATCTTTTGCTGCTGTTAAATACGTTATTTCCAAACAGTGTTCCACCTACTAAGCATCGGTTCTATAAATCCTTCCAGCTGGACCAGTCAGAGGTATGTATTTTAAACCTATAAATGAACTTACAGTCTTACATTGTCCCTTAATGCACTCAGTGTCTTGTACTTGATGTGTTGAATTATGTTTTAAACATTTTGAGGCAAGTATTACAGGTTCATCTTCAAATCAATGTTTTACATGGTAATTACTTTTATAATTTGGTTCTTTTGAGTAGCACCACCTTGTGTGTGCATGTGCTAAAATCTGGCTCTGTCCTTTATGCATTAAAAGGTTCAAGAAGACAAGAACGCATTTCGTTCTTACCGACTTTACAGAAAAAGAATATAATTTTTATTTAGTGTCATGTGATTGAGTTTAATTAGTGTCATGTTTTGAGAATTAAGATTGAGTTTCGAGGGATGACAGTGAACAATTACGTAATGACGATTTTCCGGTTTTTGTTAAAGCTAAACAAAAAAAAAACCAGTTTGAAAATAAAACCGGTAAACTGCCCAAGCCTATCATCCTATTTTTCGTTTAACTGATCCAACTTTTTCTTTATAATTCTAGAAGCATTTCTATTGTTCCACATGCTCATCATATTTGGGTAAGGACACAGCCATCACAATCTGCAAGGCATGTAATAGTCCATTCAATGAAGTTGATGGTGTAAAGAGAGGGGATTATTTTGTCTACATTCCCCTGCAGAAGCAGATTGAAACGATTCTTAGCAATGCCAAATTACACCAACACTTAAGCAATAGAAATTTAGAACTTAGTTTTAATTCATCAGTTGTATCAGATGTAACTACCTCAGCTTTGTACAAGGAACTTATTACTGAACATAATCTAAGTTCGAATGACATATCCTTAACCTGGAATACAGATGGTATCCCTGTGTTTAATTCCTCTAATTTTTCTATTTGGCCTTTACAAGCTTCTGTAAATGAGCTCCCTTCACATCTTCGAAACAAAAACATCTTGCTACTTGGTCTATGGTTTGGTAAGAAACCAAACATGAATGTCTTCTTGGTACCATTTGCTGAAGAGTGTACAAGGTTAGAAACTGAGGGTTTTCTCTTTGGCAATGAGATTCAGCCAAGAAGGGTATTTGCTTTACTTTTGTGTGCTGATTCACCTGCTCGAGCTATTGTTCGAAATGTGAAGCAGTTTAACGGTGAACATGGCTGTGATTGGTGTGAGTTTGAAGGAGTACCTGTGCCTAATAACAATGGTCCACCAGTTCGTTATTATCCTCATAGAATGCCAGTGGTGATGCGAAGTGCTCGAAAGCAAGCAGCTTATGCACTACAGGCTACAGCTGCCAAGCCTGTTAAGGGAGTAAAAGGTATATCAGTTGCTGATTTGTTACCTTCTTTTGATACTGTCAGGGGGACAGTTACTGATTATATGCATTCTGTTTGTCAAGGGGTCATGCGGCAAATGGTAGATTTATGGTTTGACACCAGAAACCATGGGGAAAGTTACTATATTGGCCGAAAGGTCAAGTTAGTTGATGAGCGACTGCAGCTCGTTAGTCCTCCAAGTGAAATACATAGAAGTCCTCGTAGTATTTCTCAACGACACTTCTGGAAAGCGTCTGAGTGGAGGGCTTTTATCTTGTACAGTCTTACTGTACTCCATGGCATTCTTCCAAGCCGTTTCCTGAGTCATTATTTTCTTTTTGTGTATGGTATTTACACTCTGTTAGGTGACTCCATCTCCACTTCTTCAATTTGCCTCTCTGAGCTTTGTTTGACAAAGTTTGTAATAAAGCTGGAGGAATTGTATGGTTTGTCAAGCTGCAAATTTAATGCTCATTGTCTGACACACTTAGCACATTGTGTCAAGGACTGTGGGCCATTGTGGGCAACATCTGCCTTTACCTTTGAGTCACATAATCATGTGCTTATCAATCTATTTAATGGGACACAAAGTGTTCCACAGCAAATAGTAGACACCTTTTTGCTGAAAAATAAGGTTGCATCACTAACACAAAGTTGTGTTGATGCTGATTCTTCATCTTGTGTGAAGGAAGTACTTTCCAAGCTTACTGATAATGCTAGGTTTGTGCATAGTAATTCTGGTGCTGAAGTAACTGCCCTGGGTTGTGGAACATTGGTCACTTTGGATGCACGTATGATAGTTGCTTTGGAAGATCTTCTTGGTCAGACATTGAACACTCGATGTGGGAAGATGTACGACAGGTTTCTGTGCAATCATCAGTTGTATTCTTCTGTCTCTTACACTCGATCCAAACAACACACAAACCACCATGTATCAATTCAGCATCCAACTTTCAAATATGGCTCCATTTTAGGTCTTCTTGTCTTTAAGCCATTGTGTCGTTGCACCATAGAAATATCTCAATATTGTAACTGCACTCTGTACAATGTAGTATTATTGAAACCAATGCATGCTAATGCGAAAATGTTATTTAGAGATGTAGATTTTAAAGTCACTAGCTATTTTATTGTAGAAGTCAAAGAAACTGATAATACTATTGCAATGTATCCATCTAAGATTGAGCGCAAGTGTATATGTCTACGCTTGGAGGACAAAACATACTTTTGTCCACTGCCTTACAGAATTAATGATGATTAGATAATGAATATAATTGTAAAGTGCAAATGTATTTTGTATAAGTCCAAGTGTGGTAATTACTATACAAGGCAGCAATTTAACATGTCATCGGGACCATCTTGGTTGATTTTAGAGTATACTGAAATAAGTCTCAGTGTTTGAATTTCTACTTATTTGTTACTTTGTTTTAAAAATGCTTGCCATATATTGTGCACAGTTCTATGGTCTGAAGATCAATACACCCATGAAAACACCACATAATTTCAGTGTAAGGTAAAACATAACCAAGGTGACGCCTATTGCATGTGAACAATGCTACTACTAAGTTTTAACATTATAATATATCAACTTGCTTACTTGCGAGATTTATTTGGGTGCAATGTATATTGATTTTTGTTTGAAAAACAGTATTGATTGTTAATCAGTTTGCCTTGAAGAGACTTGAAAGAAAATGCTTATTAATTTGTGTATCTCGTTTGTGTTTCAAGTCTATTATAAAATCATCAGTTGATATTATATCAAAACATCCAAATTTTAAACAAGTATTGATTCCAGTTTGGTTCTACCCTCATGCTTTGCATACAATGGGATTGGGATCATTCAAGACCAATGTTAGTATGTGAAACATGAGAATTACACCCACATTTGCAGAGTGAGCAGGTTTTCTATATTAGAATTTATGCAAACTATTCCATAAAGTAAGATGTAAATAAGTGTAAATAGTATAGTAAAAAATTGTAATTACATTTCCCATGTAAAATTTTGACCATGTAAAATTTATATCACTTGCCTGTTGAAGACTGCAGAACTGGCAGTCGAAAGCTCATTTTTTAATAAATCTTTAAAAACAGAGAACGTCTAAACTATTAATATAATATATAATGGTTACAATGTATGAATAGTTTTGTTTTTGCAGGTTGAGTACTAAATTATACATTACATGCTTAGCCCCATTTTTTGTGGCATTAGAGTGAAATAATTGAGCAGGGCAAATTTAGGCACACTGCAACTGAACAGCTGAATTAAGGTTAAAAAATACATTAAATTTTATAGTAAAATTTAATATTTTCCATTTAAATAAGAAATGAGCACGTTAAATCAATATATAGGTTTCTTGTCTATAAGTTCACATTCTATGAAAAATTCTATAGAATATTCTTTCATATATGTTATTGGACGTTTCATATAGATATGCCATTTTAGAATATTCTATAGGATATGTAAGTGCTATAGAATATTGATATAGAATATTCTATAGGATTTGATATCCTATAAAATATTCCAATAGAATATTCTATAGGATTTGATATCCTATAGAATATTCCAATAGAATATTCTATAGGACCTGGTCATGCTATTGAATATTCTATAGGATATATATATAGGATTCTATAGAATATTTTCGTAAGGGGATAGTTGTTCTAAAATAGAAATTACTTTAGTAACGTTGTGTTATTTAATTAATGTGTGCAGAGTTTTTTCTCAATGTTCATACACAGTATGCTAACTGGTTGTACAGTATGTACATTACCCTCGTTCATACTGGATTGTTGATTCATTGACCCCAAGTCACTTCCTGATCCTGATTGTGCTGTCTTCTTTATTTTTTTTTAATTAATATTTAATTTCAGGAAGCTTTCTCACAAAGTGATTTTCAGAAAGGTCCTGAACTATATAAACTATTATACAATTAGGAAGACATGCATATACTACATAACTATGAAAAATATTAAATTATACGAGGGAACGTTCAAAGATTGATAAAAAAGTTTCTCTTAAATGTAGAAATACTAGTAGATAGTTTTATCTTTCTGTCCAAGTTGTTCCAGTCTGTTATGGCCTGATAAGCGAGTCTTTGTTTGAGTATGTAGGGTAAATTGCTGAAATTATTTAAGTATCAATCATGCATGACATCTTAATTGTTACTTATAGGATACCTTCATTCATAGTGGATTGTTGATTCATTGACCCCAAGTCACTTCCTGCAACAAAATAGTTGAGTAAATAATGGGTAAATTGTTGAAATTATTTAAGTATAAATCATGCATGACCTCTTAATTGTTACTTATAGGATACCTTCATTCATAGTCGATTGTTGATTCATTGACCCCAAGTCACTTCCTGATTGTGCTGTTTGATCTGCAACAAAATAGTTGAAAATGTAAAATCTTTATATATCTCAAAAGACATGATGATGGGATATATTTAATAATGTACCTTTCAGAGAGGATGGTAACAATGTGACATAGGCTTCAGCTGAATATTCTGGAATGGACTTTGTTGGCCGTTCACAATCTGAAAAAATAGTATTAGTAATTACTAATCAATATTAGTATAAACCTACTAGTAGGCTATCACATTTCATGCCTTCTGATTGGCTAAGCTACTAGTAGGCTATTAGTGATAGCCTACTAATAGCAAATTCAAAATGGCAGAAAATTCGCGTTTTGCACTTTTGCCTAAGTGTCTGATGTTTTTTGGACAACTTGTTGAACAATTCTGTACTAAAAAAACCCGAAAAAAGCAACAAAAATATGGAATGGCAATTTTTAAGGGTAAGAAAATAGACAAAATAACATACACTCAATGAAATTTTAAAATTAAAACTGAATTTTGTAAAACATTTTACGCAAACAAATAAAATATTTGTTTACCTTTAATGGTTTTATAATGTTTTTTTGTGTATTTTTGTATTGTATTTGCAGCCTAGTTGTAAATTAATGTTAAAATTTATACTAAAACAATTGGACAACTCAGCCTCATTGTCTATGAGTAAATAGTCAACTCGGCTTCGCCTTGTTGACTATTCACTTCAGGGATGGATAAAAGAAGATTTTTTTGAAAACAAAATCTTCTTTTTTCTTTTATTCATTAAAAGAAGATAAAGGAAGATAAAAGAAGATTTTTACTGTATTCATAAATCCAGATTTTAAACTATACATAGTAACAAATTTTGGACAAATTTGAATATCAAGTCTGGTAGCAAACCATGAATTTATGGCTTATGGTATGGTACATTTCTTGTCTGTGCATTGTTAAATGCAATCAGAGAAAGATTACATCACTAGGTACACATGTACAGTACACAACTGCTTATAGTTGCGGCAAGTTGCCACATAGATAAATATGTATTAACAAAAGTAATCAACTGCAAATTTCAAATCTCAATAACAATAACTACAAACGTTGCAAATGCCTGACAAAAGTGCTGTACTGTTCAGTTCTATCTTATGCTCCTAATTTCATCCCTCCTCATTATATTCTTCATCAGTGCTCATGTCAGAATCATCAACACTCATAACACTAACATTGTGATCTATTTGCATTGTGTTTGTTTTGATGTAAACAAGTTTTAGAACTTTCTCTTCATCAAGACGGTTTCGGAGTTTTGAGTGAACAAATGAGAATGTGGAAAAGTTCCGTTCGGATGCAGCTGATGAAGCTGGTAATGAAAAAACTCGCTTTGCCAGGTCCTGCAGTAAAGGCCAGTCAGTGCCATCAGCAATCCACCACTGGAGAACTGACTTGGACTGTCCAATTAATTTGAAGCGAAATGACTGTTGCTGTCTTTCGTCTAGAGCCTCTATGCGAAAAGAAGTATACTCCTGGGCCATCTGCTCCTTCCTGGTGTTGTTGGTAGTACCATTTTTAGTTGGATATCCATAGATGAAATCTTCAACTTCTTTTCTCAATGTGCGTGACATTCCATCCCCAAGATATCTTGGATCTAATAAGTAGGCAATGCCATGGGCATCTCCATACATGAAATCAAACCTGTCACGGACAAGTTTAACTAGGTAGGCTTTCTTTCTCTCCTCGATAGTGAGCTGCTGCATCAATTTCTCCAACTCAAGAAAGGCATGGTAAACATCGGAACAGGGGACTGCGTCACTTTGGAATAACTTTATGAACTTGTCAATTGGCTGAAGAATCTTGATACTTTCATCAAGGTTTCTGACAAAATCTGGATCCGTAACAATTGCTTTGATCTCCAGACGTTTGTCCTTTTGTTTGGCACTCCCTTTGTTCACAAAATCTCTTTCAGATACCAGAGAATTCAGAATATCATCAGCTGCTTTCAACGATTTGAAACAACCGTGTATGGTACCCCATCGAGTTGGGGCTGGCTTTACCAGACTTGACAACTTTGCTGAAGCTAATGCCTTTTTCAATCTTGCCTTCACCCCATGATGATTGTGAAAAAACATGACCACTTCTTTGCAATCATTAGCAAACACCATGAGATCTTCAAAAGGATAACCATCTGGGTATGCAGCTGGGCCACCACCAGGTGGTTCTTTCTTCTTGGCACATAAGATATCTTTAACGAGAAGATTAAGCCCATGAGCAACACAACCATGGAAAAAATGTGTAGGATACTCTCGTTCCAAGATGCTCCACATTTTCTTGTTCGCTGATGTATTGTCTGTCACTGCACCAGCTACATTATCTCCAAGATGATCTATAACACGGCTGAGATCTTGGGACAACCATTGCGCATCATGACCTTGCTCTCCTGTGTAAACTGATTCGATGAACAGTGATTTAGTGGGACAGACAGCCATGTAGTTGATAACTGACTCATTTGAGATGTTCGACCAGGCATCAGTGGTGATACCAATGAACTGATTGGGGTTGGACAGCAATTTATCAACTTTATGTTTGACCTCTTCATAGGATTGTTGAAGTAGTCCACCAGGACTATCATCTGCTAGTTCCTTCCTGGTGGGTAATTTTACTCCAGGACGTGCTAGTTGAACAGCTGATGCCAGAAATGGATCTTCAATTCGTTGAAAACTTGTGCCTGTGTTGTAGAAAAACATTGCAATATCTCGGTTGAACTTCTTTTGTTGTGAGGTGGTGAACATTGGAACTGCAAATGATCTTGCCGAAGGTTGTGTTCCTGGTGAGGATTTGCTTGGATTGCTTGTAGAAGACTTAGAAGCATTTGACTTCTTACTCTTGCTGGCAGGGTCATTCCACCATCCTGGACGGTCAACAACAGCTGTGTCTAACATAAGTTTCTTGAATTTTTTGCATCTTTTCAGATGTGTTTTGACAGACAATACTTTATGGTGATGTCTAACCGATTCTTTGCAGTGTTTGCAAACAGCGTGATTTGGCTTACTTGAAGTGTGTGCATCAGGGTCATCAAATGCATAGCTCCATACATTGTGTACTGGGTGGCCTCGCTTTATTCCCAAGTTGTCATCGGGACTTGACAGACTTGTAGAAGCTGTAGTTACAACATTTTGATCCTCTATGTCCAACTGAGTGATGTGAATGTTCTCACCATCAGACTGGTCAGAGACATCTTCATAAATAAAGAAAAATATACAAAAATATATTCCAATAGTCAATAAAATAATAAATAGAATAGATACTACATAGATCTGCTAATGTTTTGTGTAAGCACTGACTAATGACAACAGCATTACAGTTTACAAACTGCAGTACTGGATTACATTACTCAATACTATTACTGTCAATAGTCAATATTATTATTACTGCAAATGTTATCAAGCAGAATGAAATAATGAATAAATGAATAATATTAATATTAATATATGTATGAATTATGATAATATGATTAGACTATTTGTAGTTTTGTACTCCAGTTGCCACTGTTATTCACTAATTAAATAAATTAAACAAAATACAGTGTATGTAAATTATTTACCTTCCAAGCAAGAGTGAATTTCGTCAATTTCCATGATGCATTGATGCCATGTTTAGCCACATACAGCCAGTGCTCTCATTTCCGATTGCGTGAATTCCTTAGATTCTCGGTAAAAAATTCCTCAGATTTAGTAAAAAATTTCCTTAAATTTCATATTTTTGGGTTAAGGAATATCACATTGTTTCTTCGAAAAAAATTTGCAATACTGAATGCTTAAGACTGCATTTCCTGCGTTTTTAAAAAGTATTTTTGAATAAATACAGCTAAATTGACTGAATTTTTAAATATAATTTCAATATTTTTATATTAGAAATTCCTTGAGAATAAAAGAAGATAAAAGAAGAATTTCCTTCGAAATCAAAATCTTCTTTTATTATTAAAAGAAGATAAAAGAAGATTTATTAAAAGAAGGTTTGCCATCTATGATTCACTCATAGACAACTCGGCCTCGTTGTCTAATTGTTAAATAGTATGTGAGTATGGTCTAGTATGGTTGGTTAAATGTCACATACCAGATGTTTCATCAGGAAAAAGTTTTCGCTTGATGCCTAGTTTGTAGGAAAATATTGTAGGTATTGCCATCTTTACTAATCTGTTTCTTGAATGGTTTTGGAAGCATGCAGGAATCTTGAAAATGTTTTGCACATAATCTACAGTTTTTATGTACCGAAACAGCATCCTTGCATAATAAGTCCTCCCTTCGGCAATTCAATGCCCACTGCTTCATACTAAAATTGTTGAAAAGGTTGCATATAAAATTTATCAAAATATTTGTATTAGGATTATTAGTCAGGTCTCTTAGTGCAAAATAGTGGCCCGATGTTTACAGGAGTGACAAAAGTGCCAAATTTGGCACATAGCTTCCTTAGCATATACAAATTAATATTAGAAGGGGTGCCCATCGCGAATCGTACTTGTTAAGGATTAATGGGCTAATGAAGTTTTACCTAAAATCACGATGTGGGTTACCTGCGGTTGCTATATCTTTTGTCTAAATTCAGCAAAGAACAAATAAATAACAGAGTTTTGAGGCTGGATAGGTCATGCTTATTAATAATTATGCCGCTTTGACATAAATTATACAAATATACTAACTAGTGCCCAGTCTCCACTCAGAAAATTATTTCGCTTTTCAGCGTCAATGTTGGCAAATAAGATCTTCACGTTAGTTTGCATTTTGATATAGTTCCCGATCCTAATTCGCTTCACATTGCAGGCGCATTCACTTTTTTTAGTGCTAAAAAAGGTTAGACAGTACGGTTGTTCACGGATCACTTGCACTGTTTACACATTTACATCTGCAAAGCAGAGTGCACGCCAAATACGCCTTAGCGCACTTGCATCTTGTGCATGAACCTTTGCAGGTACACTTTGTTAGTTCGCTGCAAGCCTTCGAGACCTCGGGTATGGTTATCCATTTCGGTACCCATGATCCTCCCTCTTTCTTCCAAGGAAACCTGTCTGGAGATGGTACTGCCTGTTGTGAGTGCTCACTGGTCGACCATATTCCCGCTTGGAAAATTGAACGATGAACATGTTGTAGGAGAGCATCCTTGTGATTGTGATTATTGAAATCGTTCTGTCCTTTATAACTGCCTTCACAAAATCCTGGTACTGCTTCTTTCCAAGCTGCTCAAGGTTAACTACTGCCTCGGCTACAGCATCATCCATACAATCCCGGCTGTCCAGTGTAACTAGCTCTGGGAAGTCGTCAAGAAAGGGGTTCCCCATCGTCCTTATTACATCAACCAGATTGTTCACCTGCTTCTTGAACGTCTTCTGTGCGCTTAGTCCCATCTCATGATTTAGACGATCCTGAAACTCCTCGCTATCAGGTCCTAGATATTGCTCCTCAAATTGATGCAAAAGTCTCGTTGTCTCAGGGCCTGATTTTCGCATCCAACGTCTGAAAAAAAAAAGAATATATCGAAATTCAGTATTTTCATCCCTATGAATAGTTATTTTCTGCCAAACAATGTGCTCTGATTTGCCGTTTTACCAGTTTGATTGAGTGTTAACTAATACACCATTTTGTTTATAACCAGCCTATTTTATGATTGTAAATATATAAAATAATCAATCAAAAAAAGAAATAGAACATGTAATTTGTAACGCGATAACAATAATTTTGGGCCCGCAGTAATTGGCTCACGCTGTTGCGGTCACCCTGCCTATAGTCATGTATATTATTCTTGTTCTTGTTATAGTTTTGTGTATTGTAATATGGCGAAACTAATAAATAAAGAAATAAAATAACAAAACAGAACAACTTAATTAACAATTTTCAATTGGCACATTGTGCTGATAACGAAGCATAAGCAAAGAATAGATTTTTGTGCTCACCTAAATGCTACAGGGTTCTCCGTTAGGCCTACTGCACCACCTGCACTCTTGACGATTTTGTTCTCCTGTTCATGCGCCTGGGAATAGCAGAAAACCTGTTGCCTGTTTTTGACAATACCCAGTGGCCTTCGTTCTGAAATTCCTTAGCGATGTTGTCCGGTAGAGACTTCAGGTCACGAATATGGATGGAGGCCCAGCGTGCGTAATTGACGTGGTCCAGTGCAAAGAATAAAGGTACCAGCTCTTCCATGGCCTCAACGTACAAATTGAAGTTTCGTTGCCTATGTGCACGTATTACAAGCAACACCAGTGTCTCTAACTGTAGAATGACATCCCAGAAGAGAAACGTCGGGCTTATTCGCTTTCTTGCCTCTTCCCACGTAGAGAACGATGCCTCGTCAACGCACTGGGAAAATGCATCTCTCTGAAGCTTATGTAGGGCGAGAGCAGTGACTTGATGAGCATGCCTGAAAATATATCGCATTTTTTCTTAATTAAGTAACCCCCCCCCCCAGTTACATTATAACCTGTACGCCTATTTCATTGCCACAAGACAAAGAACATTCTACTGGAGATAAAATGCGCTCAGAAAGGATAAATTGCGCTCATCGATATGGAATCAACCTCGTCCCCAGGGCCATCCTCGCGAAATTTTCGAGGTGCCTCCCATGGCTCTGGGGACGAGGTTGCTACGGAATAGTATAGCGCAAGCATCCTTAAGCCCGTTTTCACTCACATATTTCGCCGCCGCTGGCGAAACATTTTGACAAAGAAATCATTTTTTACATTCATTCGCCACTGAAGAAATTTGTTCTCCTGCCACATTTGCTTAAAATTTTCAAATTCTGTTTGACCTTTCATCGACGGCGCGATAGAACAACAGATTAACTTTTTCGATGGCGAAATTTTTCGCCAGCGGCAGCGAAATACGCGAGTGGAAAACAGGCTTTATAGTGAACCAGTACCTGTATGGTTGTGAATAGTTGTATGGTCATCTAATATGTTTAGCACATCAACCTACCTAGTTCTTGTTAAATGCGACGTCAGTAGTATGAACTAGGGGCTTCGAGGACATACTTCATGTTATACAAAATATAGTGTCTTCAGCCCCTCAGCCCCTTGGTCCTTTCGGTCCCCGTCCCCAGGACTTTCCCGGGATTTATAGAAAATCGTCCCCAATACTTTTCCCGAGATTTATAGAAAATCGTCCCCAAGACTTTTCCGAGACTTTTCCAAGATTTCAGGATTTTCATTCCCGAGACTTTTCTAAGATTTTCACGAGTCGTTCCCTTTTCGGTTCGTGTCCTCAAGTTTTTTTAAAATCAAGAATTTAAAAACCCGCGCGAAAATCGAACCTCGTACCTATTTATACAAATGAAAAACCCGGTATAAAAAAAAAGAATGGCAAGTGAAAGTTTTAGTTTTGAGATTAAAAGACTAGTGTCGGGACGAAAGAGACATATTGGATTCAAGGAATACTGGAGGATGAAAATATTGGATTCAAGGAATACTGGAGGATGAAAAAAGAGTGTAACAGGTTGATGGAAGAAAGTAAGAGGTTGGAGGAAAAAAGACTTTTTCTGATTGACTGTTTTGAAAAACAGAACCGTCATATCAATGAAATTAAGGATAAACTTTTATCTGAAAAAAATTGGGAAATTTTATGTCGCAGGGTGGAAATGGAAAAGAAGGGTTTTGAATTCAGACTGGATCTAGAAAACGATGAAAGAGAGAATACACGAGCCCTGCGAAAAGTTTTCGGACCCGATCGTTATCTGGAAGATGGTGGTTACGATGAGATTGAAATACTTATCTGTCCTAATGAGATTGATAATACGGAAGATGAAGTGGAAAATTATATAAACTATGGAACCTTGGTGTATGGCTAAGAAAAAAAAAAAAAAAAAAAATTATTTTTTTTTTTATAAAATATACAATAAAGGAAAAAATGTCTATCACCAAAGTCCAGGACTTTACCAAAGATTCGTTCTGTTTCGAAGATGGCGTCGTAAACAAGTACGGATCCAGAAAAATTAAATTAGCGGCATGTGATCGAGGTCCTCTTCTTCTGAAGGTCACAGATTGTCTGTCGTATGGAGTGGATAAAAATAACAAGTACGGTAAGGAAAATCTTTCCGTTTCCCTATCCCTTTGGGAAAAGTCGGAGTTTATTTCCGTTTTGGAATTATTAGAAAAAGAATGTGCGAAGCATGTCGATAAGTCGGGCGAAAAGATAATGAAATGTCTTTATCGAAAAGGTAACGCTCCGGTTTTATATCCTAAGATCGATGACGAAACGGAAATCTACGAACCGAAAGGAGACGATCCCATCGATCCTAAAAAATATCTGAATAAGAGATTTCGTCTTGATGTGATCGTTAGAATCGATGGAATCTTTCTATCCGACAAGACAACCTGTATTCAGGTAAAATTATACGAAGCCAGTATATTGGAAGAAAAACCAAAGGTACCAAGAAAAAGACTTTTACGAGATTAAGACAAAAAAAAAAAAATTTAATGTAAAAAACATTAAAATTTATATAAAAAATTTTCATTAAATAAAAGAATGAATCCAGCAACAACAGTACTTTATTCGGCGATGAAATTAGTGGGAAGAAACGAAACGGAAATTCCGAACGTAAGATTAACGGACAGAGAAGCCGATCTTTTATATGCGACGTGTGCCATCTGTGGATCGGCAGGATTATCCGTTTTATATCTTGTGTTCACAAAGTTAGTCAAGATGTGTCGCGAGAAAGAAAAGAAAAAAGAATTACCGGTTTATACACCGTCTGCGTGAGAATTTTAATTTTTATAAAAATTAAAATTTATTCAGGATGATCATCACCAGCAAAAGTTCGAACGTGATCGGAATCAGAAGACAACTGATTAGACTCGTCCACAACAAGATTCTCCACGGGAATAATTTCATCTTTTATTTTTCCATCGTAATTTTTAACGGTCGTACTGACATATCCGATCTGTGTATGAATGCTGGTCGTTGCATCTCCACGATCGAATCCGAATCCGAGACTAAACATTTTTCGTCTCTTGTGATTCTTATTATGTTTAACAATACTTTCGGATTTTGAAGAAAGACATCCCATCCTTTAATTAAATGAAACCGTTTAATATGATTATCGTGGGAATGACGGCATGTGGAAAAACCCATTATCTGATCGAAGAACTAAAGACGACGTATTTTCATGAATTTTCCGAAATCTTTTTAATCTGTCCGACGTATCACCGGAATGAAACGTACGACCAAGATTTTATTTTCGTGGATCCTAAATTTTTCGTCGTTGCATGCGATTACGACGATGTGGAAAGATATGTAGAATCTGTTGTGAAATATTTAGAATCTGGGAAAAATGCGCTGATTATTTTGGATGACTGTGCACTCGAGTACACAGTCTGTCAAGAACCATACGAGTCAGTTGGTGAGATTAGGCATGGGCGGACGACATAGTCATATTTCAACGATCGTGATTACACAACAGTTGACATCGATCGCCAAGGCATTTCGTGATAATACTCATAAACTAGTAACATTTTACAATCCGAGCAGGAAAGATATGAAAATTATTCTGGATGATTATTTGGGAAATATAGATCCGCAGAAATTAAAATCCATCGGTGAGATATTAAGGGAAAATAAGTATTCGTACCTGGAAATTAATTTAATTCATCCGTATCGTTATGAAATAAAGTACAAGTAAGATGGAAGGAGAAGAGAATACGACACATGAAAAAACGGAACAGGAAATACTCGAAGATACGCGGGCGGAATTAATTCGTTTATCGAACGCGGGTGAAATTAAACAGTCTGAGAACACTTTGAAAAAAGCAAAGGCAGAAACTATTTTTAAAATCAAACGGGAATACATCATCGATCAACGTGAGAAAGCTAATGTTTTACTGACAGAAGTCCTGATCGATAAATTTTCTGGATTACTGGAAAATCTTCGTATGATCGATAGCGGCGAAGAATTAAAAGGAGAATTAAATCAAGATAAATTATTAAAAAGAGACGTGAAAAGTCTCGTCGAAAAAATATCGCCGTACATTCCGTATCTAGGAATTTTAAGCGGCGGCGTGACGACGGTCAAACATGTGTACGGAAGGAAGGGAACGGAAGACGTGAAAGAGGAGGATGAAAAAACAGAATAGGGATCTTTTTCATATTTTCAGAAGAATATGAAAATATAGTGGTTTACACCATATTTTTTAATATCGAACGCCGCTCAATTGTCCGTTGACCATTTTAATCACGCCGTCCGAAAGAACGAACGTGTAACAGATGATATTAGCTGTCGTCGCTTTTTTCATAATTTCGATCAGGATTCCAGATTGTGTATTCTGAATTTTCACTCCGTTTCCGTACGTTTTTGCATCGTTTGCCGTACGCAAGTCGATGACCAATGCAAATTTTTTATCCTTGTAAAATTTTATCAGAGATTGTTGTCCATTTGGATCGGTTCCAAAAAGCCGTTTGGCTTCTTCGTACATTCGCGTCTTCGTCATGCCCTGACTGTACACGACATTCGGAACACCTTCGATCGTGACTTTCACTTTATCGATATTCGGGAAGACGTATTCCTCGCTATCGGTCGGTGTTTTTTCCGTGAAAAGCATGACGATGGCTTTCATACTTCGTCGTGGAAGATTGACGGTTTCGTTGACGATCGTCAGACTTTTATCCCATTCGGTCTTTTTCATCAACGTGGCATGCTCGAAAGATATCGTGCAAGATTGACGTTTTCGATAGATTCGTATTCTAATTCTAAATTTTCCAGGGAATATCCATCGACGGTTTCACCGCCTTGGGCATTCATGATTTCGGACGCTTGTGGTAACGTGATCACATATTGAAGATCGTTGGCCGAATGATACGGTGCATACAATCCGTGATCGCCTAAAATTTTTGTAATCTTCAACCGTTGTTTCGTTCCAAAAATTCCAAACAATGCAGTCGCATCGGCATCGGCATTCGCCTCGTCGTCTTTGGAATTTTTTTTACGAACGGCTTCGGTCGTAATTCCATCCTGAATCATATCCGCGCGTTGTTTTTCATCCATCCACAAGTCTTTGTAAATTTCCAGTAAACTTTCACCGCTGTTATCGTAGACTTTTTCACCGGCAAGACGAATCTCCAATCTTTTCTGTAATAATTTTCCTAAATTATTTCGGAACCATGATTTTTCGTTGGCATTTTTAAAGTCGAAAATTAAAGCCATACTATCGGGAACGAGAACAGAATCCGGTTTGAGTTTGGGAATATTCACGTATATTTCTTCCCCGGGTTTTGCCGAATTCGGATTGAACGTGATTAAATGTCGCGTTCGGTTTCCAGTTAATTCCGTCCTGGATCGACGACTAAAACTAGGATTAAGTTCTTGGGTACGTGTTTCCATTCTTTTATTTCATGGGAATGAAATAAAAAAAATTTATTTTTTCTTTGTGAAATAATTGTACAAGTATCCTGCGATCAGAATGGCAAGAATCCATAAGTTTTTCGCAAGAAATTCTATTCCTTTCGCACCCCATTTCAGAACGGTCGCTAACATATTCAAGATGGGAACGATCACAGGAAGGGCGGCTTTTGCAATTTTTCCCAACGCTTTTCCAACTTCGCCCACGCCTTTCGCAGCACCGACCAGCGTCTTTTTTCCAGCGACGACGACGGTCGTAATAATTCCGGCGATGGAAATAGCGATCGCAGATAAAACTCCTAGATTTTCTCTGGCCCAAGTTTTAAATTTCTCAAATCTCGTCCGTACATCCTCGCGAACTTTTTCCCGAACACGATGTACACCTTCTTCGGATTCGGGACGTTTCCGCATTTCCAGTCTCGCATCGTCGATATTTTGATCGATAATTTCTAACGCTTCGCGAAAAATATCTCGACGTTCAGGATCGGATTCGGTTTCAAAATCTGTTTTCAGTTTTTGACGTTCTACCTTTAAATATTTAATACGTTCGTTAGGTTCACCTTTGGGGACTGTAATTCCAACTAATTCCCTCACTTCTTGTTCGGTGAATTTCCCGTCGCGATGAAATTGTGAAACACGTTCGTGAAATTCAAGATTATCATCGATATTTTCACGATGAATTTCATCACGCACGTCATTAGAAATATCGCTGTGGATCGATGGATTTCCCTCCGGAATTTCTTCTTCCATGATACTGACTAATTTAGTTTTATGTTCTTCCGTTGCTTTTTCAAAAGCAGTTCTAAAATTTTTCTGGCTCTCGGCAACAGTTACATTTTTATTTGTGGATAGTTTGTATTCCCCATTTTTTTCGATGAAGGCAACATCAATATTATCAAATGTTAGCCAGTATCCGTGGGTATTTAGTCTGGAAAACAAATCTTTAGAATTTGGTCCATCATTCGGATTTAATTTATAGTCGTTCCCAAAAAGTTTTTTCATATATTCAGATTTCAGACCGACAGAAGATCCGGTCGTATGCAGGGAATTGGTCTCTTTTTTTCTTTTTGTATTTTTTTCATTTTCATTCTGTCTTTTAAAATCAGACAACCATACTTCATTGTTCCGACGATCTAAATCATCCAGTGTCGTTTCGCGCAAGTCGTCGCCGAAATTAATATCATCGTATTCATCCCCTTCCCACGGATCCCAATCATAATCATGTCCGATCTCGTCGAGTTCGATATATTCGGCCATAGTTTATTTACCACTTAGATCCAACGATAATTCATGCTCGTAAAATCTTCCTTGAATTTCACGATCGCTATCGTCGGGATCGATGAGTTTATACATGTTCGGATCGCCACGAAACACTTCCGACACGACGTAAACGTCGTCGGAATAATTCGGAGTGTAACCTTTGTCGAAAGTTTTGCGATAAATTTGATCTCGGACACGATCTCCAACTTTAAATTTTGGTTCCGGAAAGTGAGATAACGGATAACCGTAAAGTTTTACCCAGACTTTATCTTTATTGGTTTCGTTCACATCGGCAGGTTTCATTCCAATCGTACGATGTTTCGAATGATTATACGACGTGACAAAATTATCCAGGACGTCGATCCATTTTTTTGATTTGGCCGTAAATTGTTGTTCGGTAAAATATTTCCACATTCTTGTTTTTAACGTCCTGTTAAATCTTTCGACGACGGCCGCTTTTTTCCAGTCAATGGCGTCGAAAAATAATGAATGTCGTGTTTTTCCAATAATCCTTTGACTCGGTTATTATAAAATTCTTTTCCTTCGTCAAATTGAACGACTTTGGGATATCGTCCAAATCTTTCGTGAAATTGTTCCAAGATTTTTTCGACGGCCGGAACCATATCTTCCTTTCCTTTTCGTTTGGCGGGAACGGCAAATGCATACCGACTTAAAATTTCGATGGATGTTAAAATCCATTTGTAACCTTTATTCGCACGACTGTAGGTTTGCATATCTACCAAATCTAATTGTAATTGTTGTGCAAGTCCGTCGACGTACGTTCGTTGCGTTTTAAAATGAACTCGCGTCGGTTTGTGAACGACGTACATATTTTGTGTTTGTAACCATTTTTTCACTTTTTCACGCGTGACACCGGGAATATTTTCTTTTACTGCATCCCGATAAAGTTTTTCCATCGACATGTAACCGCCGTTGACGTTAAAATAAAGTTTGCGTAAACCAAGATCCAATGTATCCATAGTTTATAATAAATGAAAAAGATTACAGTTTTTATTCGGAACGGAGAAACTACGATGAAATTACAGAGTCCGTTGATTTTAACATCGACATCCAAACTCTACGTAAAAACAGTCGCCTTATTCTGGACGTACGAGAATATTCGAAAAGACGACAATAATTATTTTCTGTCGATAAGAAAAAAGTGATGCTGAATCAAGGATACTGGACGTTTAAACAATTACGTCAAAAATTAGAAAGTCACGGTCTCGTCGTCGAAGATTTTCCAGACGGACGGATTCAAATAAAATTTGGAAAAAGCGTCAAATCTTTTAATCCGTGGAAATTAAATAATCTGTTGGGATATACGACATTTTCGGAATTACATCCGGGTCAGCATCCCGTGGATATTCACGAAGGATTACGTTACGTCACGATCGGTTGTAATTTAGCAAACCGATCCCAAAATATAAATTCCGACGGCTATCCGAGTAGTATCATATCGTCCCTTCCCATCGACGGAACGAAACCTTTATTCGGAACGACGACGAAATACAACGACATCGAAAGCGAAGTGCAGGCCGATGCGGGGATTTATCACGAACTTCATTTCGACGTGAAATCCAACGTCGATGGAATTACACCGTGCAATGCTTTGATAGATTTGTATATCATCTAAGAAATAAAAGATGGAAGGGGAAGAACAAGTTTTTCGTGACTATTACGGAAAGAATTACGAAAAGGTTCGAAAAGCTTATCCGATAGAAATTCAGAAACTCAAAACTAATTTTCTTCAAAAATATCCCAACGCTACATTATGCAGGTTTGAATTCAGCGTGACGTTTGTTAAAGATGGAACGTTAAGTTCGACCGAAATTTCTTACAAAGTGGACGAATTCACCAGTTACGATATAACGTCCGAAACATTTTTAGGAAATCCGAAATGGACCAAATATTTATATTGGAAAGATGGATGGCGAAATGTTAAATCCGATATGATATTCCGTCCGAATCCTGACTTTGCCGTAAATTTTCACACGTTTAAAATCTACGTCTCGGAAACAGATTCTTTTCCCGTGGATTTAGAATATACGACACCCGAGTACACGGGAACGGGAAATTTTGTAAATTTAATCCCGTTCGACTATCATCAAAATTCTTATTTTCGATCGCTGGCAGCCTGTTACATCGCGACATTTAAATCTGGAATTTCCGAAAACCATTTGAATAATACCTTGCCCGATTCCCATCTGATCACCTCCATCGTGAAATTTCACGTTCATTATCAGATGGAAAAATTCATGAAAGATTCAAGATTAATGGATCATTATTTGAACGAAGACGATCTTTACATTTTAGGAAAATACATGCCGACGACGGAAACGTGGGAACGTCGAACGTTATCTTCGCATGCCAATCTTGGAACGTGGTATTATGGATTACCTGCCGATACGCGACGAAGAATTCGGAATCATCATTACGTTCGAACGCGTTACGGTGGAACGTATATCGTGTACGAATACTTAACGAAAAGACTTCCGAAAAATATCTTGGAAGATTATAAAATATTCATTCCAAAAACATCGCGCGGATTAACGAAGATCGGACAACGGTTATTTCAACAGAGTCTCGAAGTTTACGTCTACGCCGTTCTCGGAGCACAAGCCAAAACCCGTTGGAGTATCACGGGACAAGGTGCAAAAAGTTTACAGACTCAAGATGTATTCCGAAAAGTTTTAAAAGACAGTATCATTCAAAATGATATCACGACGATCATTCGAAACATGCGTACGGCGATCGCAGATACAAACGTCGTCTTAAATTTCGCCATCATGCCCGGTCTGATTCTCATTCCATCCGACATGCGGATTTTACAAAAACCTTTGAAAGGTTACAATAATATTTTAACGTTGGCAAAAAGTGGCATGACGTTTGGAAAAAATGACGAGGTGAATTTTACAAAGTCTCCTGTAAAACATTCGGTAACAAGTCCCGTGAAAAATCCAACAAGTCCCGTGAAAAATCCTGTGAAAACTTCGGCAAGTCCCGTGAAAACTTCAACAAGTCCCACGAGAGATTTCACAAAAAATCCATCCACTTTGAAAATTTTAGCCGTTGCATCGATGGGAGTTGCTTATTTTCTATTTAAATAAATGAGTATATTAATGGGATACAACTACTTTGACGAATCCGAAGATTTGAAGAAAAAAGTGACGGAGATCGAAAAGACACAGCAGGTGAATACGGCCGAGATCGTAAAAAATGTGAGTGCGGTCGGTGAACTAAACGATCTTGGAAAAAATTACGTTCAGTACGACGTTCCACAAATGATCGGTGTTCCTGGGTTTTACGAAACCGGTACATTTTCTGTGACCGATCGGAAAAATGCAAAATTCATCACTTTCGGTGTTGGTGGATTCGAAATAAATTCCAGGGCTTATTCATCCTTTTATGGATTTTACGACGGAAGTGGCGGTAACGTCGTTATAAATGCAGTAACACAGCGGAGCACGCTCGTTCGTGCGACGTTTACGTTTGCATACGGAAGTAATAAAATATTAATAATCGGTCTGGAATTTAAAAATATAAGTTCGACGGGAAGGGTATCCAACCGGATGGAAGCAACAGATTTAAAATGTTTTCTCGTTACGACTTAGGAAAAATTTTTTAAGTTTTGACAACTTAGAAAATTTGTGTCAATACGTATCCGCTACCGAGTCCGACGACTCCCATCGTCATGTACATATATTTTTGCATTTCGTCCAACGGTTGATAATAATCTTCGAATTTCGGTTTACGATCCAATGCATTTAAATCCTGTCGTCGATTATAATTTCGTAATGCATCCAACGCTTTATTCGTCTCTTCGATATCATGATTCGCATCTAAGATTTCCTGCCGTCGTCGTATTTCTTCGTTCCGTCTTTTCACTTCGGATTCGTAAAATTTTTCTTTTGCCGCGGCTAATTCTTCCAGCGCATGATTATGTCTTTTCACTTCTTCCTTGTACCCGTTTTGATTCAAATGGGAAAATAAAAATCCCGCGCCTGCAAAGGCGACCGCATTGAATAATCCACCGACTACTAAATTGGTTGTCATTGTTTATTATTGACCGATTGTTTTTGGAACGTAACCCTTGTCTTTGAGATAGGCCACGGCAACGGAACTTCCCGCCACGGCCACACCGAGTTTCATCGCTCCTTCCAGCGTCATCGGTGCACCTAAACTTTTCCCCGCAATTGTTTTCGCCGCATACGAAATTCCTACGACACCCGATGTTAGAAGCGCAGCATCGTATAAATCCTGAACGAGTTCTTTTTTAGTATCAGACATTCTTTTATTTCTTGGGTGAAAGAAATAAAAAAAAATTTATTACACATTTATGGATGAATCCGCTAACTCGGTAGTAGCGAGTTTCTCATTCTCAATCCAAAGTCTTTCATTCTCATCTTCGAGTTCGTGGATTCTTTCAGTCTTTTCAAATAATTCTTTTCTGAGATCCTGTACTTTTTCTTCGAGTCTGTCTCGTTCATCTTCAAGATCATCCCGTTCTTCTTCGAGTTTGTCCCGTTCCTCTTCGAGTTCTAAAATCTTAGCTCCTCTTTCACGTAATATCTTTTTAGTCCGTCTGTTATTTTCCTGAACGGTTAATCCACCTTTTTTTCCACGCGCGACGGCTTCCGGATCTTTTACTAGGTTATTTTTATGCGTTAGTTTTCCATGTGCCACTATCCGTTCTTTTTCAGGAAGTTGACACAATTCTTCGTCTTTTACGTTATCGATGGCTGGCATCACTCCCGGTAACGTGTACGTTCCCGTTTTTCGGATAGACGGAAGAACATCCTCGAATACCCACCGCTGAAAATCCTCAGCGGCAGGTAGTTTCGAATGGGACACGAGACTGTATAAACCGGGTTCGGTAACAAACACTCTGTCGGGGTGTTTACTACCAGATATATGAAAAGAGGTGTGTTTCACACCCCTTCTGATTTCGTCGAGTGTGGTTCTCATCCACTCTTTTGTGTGTCTAGTAACGGCGCTGCGTGTTTCAATGTAACCGAGTGCGGTTGCCAGTTCCTTCGCCGCAAAATAAAACGTGTTGCTACCATCGTCGGACCGAATGGTGGTAACTTCCTTGTCCCCAATCAACGCAAAATTCCTTAGTACTATCTCCATTTCCTTTATTAATTTATGAAAGGATTTCATAGATTAATTTCGATTTGTGTCATTACCGGATATGTTAAAAGGTCCCTGTTTCAGGGACCTTTTTATTTTTTCGAGTGTGGTTCTCATCCATTCCCTGGTGTGTCTGGTAACTGCGTTCGAGAACTAAACATAATTCATCCACCTCCATCACCTTCCGTCATGCATTTCCCGCGAACTTCTGCTTTTAGGTTTTCTTCGGTCATTGCTTTTTTCTCAGCTTTGACCTGTTGTCTTATTTCTGCTAATCTTTTTCCCACTTCGACTAAACGAGGATCTTTCACTTTTTTCGGTGGGTCTAAAGGTTTGGTAGATGGAACAGATTCTGGATTTACTTCGGTCATTTTCTTTATTGTATGAAAAAAAAACAACTTTAATTTTGTTTAACTCTGTTTAAAATTTACTTGCGAGGAATTGTAGAATGTGTGTAAAAATTACTAAGTCTTTCCTCACGAGGAATCCGAAAACGGTCTTGGGTACGGTTTGTAACCATACCCCTTGTCTCCTAATCAAACCTTTCGTCGAACGGTTCCTTCAGCGGATCCTTTTCCACATCGTTGTTGTTCTCATAGATAATTTCATCCTGTTTCACAGAACTTTTTTCATCACGTCGCCACGTGAGATACAACGATCCCAACCCGATTCCTAATCCAAATAACATACATAATCTTTCGACGGAAATCCATCCGCCATCCATCATACATTCTTCACGAACTTCCGCTCCTAGATTTTTTTCCAACCTTTCTTTTTTTGCTTTCTTGTATTTTTGACTCATCGCTCCCAACTTTTTCCCCGCTTCGACCCGACGTGGATCTTTCACTTTTCCCGGTTCGGTCACCGGAACGGATTCTGGATTTACTTCTGTCATTTTCTTTATTGTATGGAAAGAAAATACTTTAATTTTGTTGAACTTTGTTTAAAATTTACTTGCGAGATTACATAGAACGAATGTAAAATTTACTTGGATTAGAACGAATGTAAAATTTACTTGGATTTTACTTGTAAGATCTTCCAGATCAATCTTGAATTCTGCTGAAAGTTGTTACCAAGACTTACTTGTAAGAAATTTAAGAACGATCTTGAATTCTTCTGAGAGTTGTTACCAAGACTTACTTGTAAGAAATTTAAGAACGATCTTGAATTCTTCTGAGAGTTGTTACCAAGACTTACTTGTAAGAAATTTAAGAACGATCTTGAATTCTTCTGAGAGTTGTTACCGAGACTTACTTGAAAATGTTTTACAAAGGATATTAAGATATACTACAGTTTCCTTTCGATGCTTTTTGTGTGATTCTCTCGCGTGCAAAATTCACTATTCCTTCCGTCGTTGCAGGAATACTGAAAATCTGAAGTTCTCTTTTCTCTTCCACCTTTTTCTCTTCTTCCACCGGTTCCTCCGACTTTCTCAGTTCTTCCAATTCCCGGGCAGAAGGAAATTCACAAGATCCATTATATTCCAAGTCGATCTTTGATAATATGCATTTTTCTTCAGGAATGTCTTTGTGACCCAATGCCAACGTATGAATTTTATCGTCTAAAATATACCGTTTGTCATCGCTAGCCGAAAGTGCCGTTTTTACCAAACGTTCGGTATAAATGTTATGATAATGACTATGAAGTGTTGTCATTCCTACACGTCTTTCTATTTCACCGAATAAAACATCTTTATAATGTTGATGCGTCAGATCTTTTTTCACAACACATTTTTTAACACCCTTGCATTTTTTTATCACTTCTCCATCATCGTTGAGTGTCGAATAAGATTTTGGACGTAATCCTATAAATTCTTTAATCTGACCCGCACCCGTTTCGGATTTCATCATACCGATGACTTTCTTGTTAATTCCACACGGAATTCCAGACGGATGAGATTTTGGAAAATTACTCGTGTCAAATTTCTGACGAACGTCGGGTGTGATGTCTTTGAAAAATTCGTCGGTCGTTATCTCGTAATGAAGCGAATCTGTATCCGTGAAAAGAAGTTCTGCTTTTTCTCCGTATTTTTTCTTCACGTAATTATAATGAAAGTCGTACATCAACGTCTTGCTGATATCTAAAATGGCAACACCCACGTAAATAGGTTTATCCAAACGAACGGTCGTCCTTCGCATGTGAACCAACGCCAAGTGCTCGGTGTAAATGTCTGTTGAGACGTAATAACTTTTTTTCACTAATTTATTCCACTTCTTTTCACCGTTAACGAGCTTCACGTTGATACGATCGCGAACATTTTCCATCGTCTTTCCAAACACCGAATTGTTCATCAGTTTGAAAAAATTACTTTCGAAATCAGACTTGGCTTTTTTACGCAAGTCGGTATTCAACTGAATATATTCTGACATCCATGCCCTTTCCGAAAACATCAGACCGCGATGAACTTTTGTCACGATCAATCCTAATTCCATGTATTTTTTTAACGTCGTATGATGAACGATATACTTTTTCTTATCGTTTAAATTCGGAACGAGTTTATCGACCTTTCCTATTCGAAGACGTTCCGGTGCTAACAGATAGTCGCTGTGCAAATCATGTAATTCTTCTGGATATTTTAAATCTACTTCGACGTAACAACCTTTTCCATTCGGAAGATTGTTCCAGTTTTTCAACTGATCTAAATTCATCCATTCAAAATTCCCGTACGGAAGTTTTTCACACATGGCCCAACCGTATAGATTATTTGCATCCAAATAAGGTAAAAATGTACTTTTCTTTTTCAGATCAAAATCTTTCGTATACTTATTATTAGCAACGGCATATCTTTTACTGATCATACAAATTCCGCCACGTTTTGCCTTTTCGATAAAATTAAACATGATCGGATCGGAAATTAAATCCAAACGGATACGCGTCATTTTCAGACATGCATCCCATGCCAATCCCGGCGATGTATAATACCATGCAGGATCCAATTCGTAATTCTCCATACAAATCTCGCGAAATCTTTCCATGATGTCTGCCAATAATAATACGTCCACTTTTAAATAAAGATTGTGATATTCACGCATGGTTTTCATATTGAACGACTTCCATACTTTTTTCGCATGTTCGTAATCCTCGTCCGTAATATCTTCGTCTGTCAAACTACTGTAAAATTCTTTTTGTGACGGAAGAGACGGTTCGGAAAATTTTCCGAAATCATCCATCCATTCGTACGGATAAACACCTTTCCGTTTTAACATCTGACGCTGATCCGACGTGTAGTTTCCCATCATTCCATCCGTTAATTTAAAATCATTCCCTTCCAAATCTTCCGCAAGATTTCCTAACGAGGATGACAAGAACTTGAACGAATCTAAAAACCGTAAGTCGTGGAATTTAGTTTTCGCCTCGCCTTTTTTATCCGTAAATGTATCGACCGCTACTTTTTTCGTAAATGAAATATACTTTTCCGATGTCTGTGCGATACAGTTGACATCGCCTTCGCTTTCTCCAAAACATTTGACGACGTGATGCGCATCGTAACCTGCCAGATTATGAAAAAAGACCGGTGTGAATCTTGGATTCTTCATTGTTAAATTACATCGGTTACATGCCGCGCCGCGATACGTACCCGTGTAATGACAATGATCTTTTGTCTTGTAATTGTCTTTCGTAAACCTTCCGTTGCATGCATAACACAACTCGGATGTTTTAAAATCCTCGTCGTCATCCGGTTTCATTTTAATCGGAACGGGAAATTTAAATCTTTCGTAAATTTCTTTCGTATCCTTTTCCAGCAACTTGTAGAATTTTATCATCATGTCTTCGTCTTCGTGTTGCTGCGTGTAACTTACGTATTTCGGTGAATAAATCTCGTCGTCGAAACATTTGATCAGATATGCAAAACCACACGCTTTATGTTCCTGTGTTCTTTTCGTACTCGAATAATTCAGATCTTCTTTCGCGTCGTAAGAAAGAGGTTTCAAAAAAGATTCCGTATCCGCATATACTACAAACGGAACGTTATGAATTCTATGATACTTTTTAAATTTTAAAATACTATCCTTTCCTTCCTCATCCTTATTCGGATACAAACATGTTTGCGCTTCATAATCCAGACACAACTCCCGGTGTTTTTCCAATAATTTTTCAGATACAAAAGGATTCAAACAACTGTTACAGATGTGTTTCTTCTCCTTGTGTTTACTCAACTGTTTTCCTAAAAATTTTGACAGATCCGTGACGACACCGAAATGTTCGTTCCATAATACCAAGTTGATCGAATCCAGACTTCCCGAAATATACCACGGATAAATTTTTAAATCCTCGTCGAATGCAAAAATATTGATGTGAACATTAGGATTCTGTTTTTCAAACTTTATAACATCTTTTTTCCCGGTCGGGAAATTTATACTGTTCCAATTTAATTTCTCCGTTTGAAGACGAAGAATTTTTGTAATACGTTCGGGATGACTCCTTACAGGATTCAATGCACGCGTCACTGCCCATTTAAAACATTCATCGTCGGTATTTTGCATGTTAATGATTCCCTTACCCTTTGTATATCCTTCTGGCATTTCAACAAATCCAGAACCGCGGGCCGGATCGTATTCGTCGATGTGAATCTCCAACCGAACTATTTTATCCAACACCCAATTACTACCATTCCGTTGATATTTTGCAAAAGATTCTAATATCTTTTCACACATCTCTTTCCAAATTTCATCCCTTAAACTTTGTCCCATAATTCCGTATGTTTTCGAGTAAAAACCGGACGAATCTCTCTCCACTTCTCCCGTAACGTTATTCGTCCTTTTCATGTCGCAGACTAAACGTACCCATACTTTCTTTGACCTGTCGATCGAATCTACGAGATTGCAAACGTGACGACCGGTCATATCTAAAAAATAGGGCGGATCATATATCTTATTCGGTGTGATCGTATACACCTGAGCACGTCTTCGAAATGCATGTTGTTGTAAAACGGGTGTAAAATCTTCGCCGCGAATTCTCATCTCACCCGACATTAATTTACGATAACGAACTTCCGCATATTTTTGACGTGCCCTTTCATTTTTATGAAGTCTTTGTGTTTCCTTCTTCCATTTCTGAGCTTCGGATTTCCAATGAAATACTTCCTTACGAAGTCTTTTTTCCTCTTTCTCGATGTGTCTTTCCCATTTTTTCTCGTCGCTAAGTTTCTGTGCCGTCGCCCTTTTGGTCGGTTTCCATCGCTTTTCTTCCTTCCTACGTTGTTTTCGACGATCCACAAATTCTTTCGCCGTAGATTTAATACTTTTCCTGAAATTTTGTTGTTCTTATACAATAGGAGGAGGATCGTTCATTTCCTCGTGAACCGACCGAATATTTTCTACTCGCGGTCGATCGTAGAAATCCGGATCGTTACTTTCCATTTTTATTTATATTATACTTATATATTCAAAAAAAAAGATTTTTCCATACTCCGAACGAGTATGGAAAAAATGGCAAGTAATAACTTTTGGTTCCGGATTTCTACGATCGTTGTTTTCTTATACTCTTTTTATTTATATAAGGTGTTACTAAAAAAAA